CTATGGATCAGGGTAGAGCAAGGACTCCTTCTAGTCTCCTAGAAAACATGGCCAAGTACTGAGCTTTGAGTGCCTGTGGTGCTGCTGCTTCTTATCAGTGCTGTGCTTCTCTTGAAATGAAAGCTGTTTCCTTTCTGTCGAGATCCCTTGGCACCAGGGTCCCTTTCAGAAGCCTCTTCCCAAGGCTCTGCCTTTCGTTTCTTCGCCTTTTCCTTGGGAGCTCCTTTTCTTTGCGTGCATGTCCCACATTCCTCGTGGCTCTCGGGTGTGCGGGGTGGCATTGCCGCTTCTTTAAATACCCTCCTTAGGAATGCGTTTGGAAAGGGGAGCCGGGCAGCGGGGCTGTGCCGTGCCCCTGCTCAGCTGTCCCTGTGGGCAGCGTGATGCCAGCAGAGCCGTGATCACGGCCCTGGGCAAAGCTGATTCCTCCTGGCCTTGTTCTGTGCCAGAAAGAGGAATAAATCCGTGGGTCACAGGGGGAACATTCCAGTGCCTTCTGTTAGAGAAGGAGACGTCTCCTGGCTCCTCCTGGCCACGGCAGCGAGAGCGAATCCAGGCTTTCCATGAACGCTGGTGTGCACGGCAGCTCCGGGAGCGCTGTGTGGGCTGGGCACGGAGGGAAAGCTCTAATTAAAGCAGAGAAGGGAAAGGAGGGATGAAAATAGCAATTAAGAAGGCAGCAGCAGACCCTACATTGTGAGGGTGTGGATGGCAGCGTTGCACAGCCTCATCCCGCGGGATGGTGCTGGTAGAGGCTTGGTGACCTTGGTCCCTCCCGTATCAGGGATCTTCTCCCATAAGGTGGATCCTGCTTCCCAGCCAGGTGCTGACAGCCTCACCCCCAGGTTAAACACTCCTGAGACAGAAAATGAGGCTTTGTGCTACGGGGAATGACTTTTGTTGGCAGTCAGAACCTGGCACCCTCTCCTCTGTCTCTCCCAGCCAACTGGGAATGCTGGCTGCCAGCTGCAGGGATGACAGGGCTTGGTCTGGCTGTATGGAATGTCCTCAGCAGGATCCGTGAACACTTTCTGGCTTGTGCTTCTGTATTCAGGACCCTCTGCTTGGGTTGTGTTAAGTGCAGGGCAAGGCAAGGACCAGGCTGGCTTTTGCTGGGAATGACCTGTATTGATGCTGCAGTGCTTGGCGCTTGGTGCACACACAGCAGCAGGCTCGTTGTGAAGGACGAGTGATAAAAGGATGAAAGGAGATTAATGGGAAGGGGAAGAATGGCAAAATACCAGGAGGCTGATGAGCATTCCTGAGCTGCAGAGTGCTGCTGCCCTCTCAATCCCAGCACAGCTCCTTGCTCCCAAGCATCACATTCCTTATGGTCTAGCTCTGTCCTACAAGTGAGAGCGCTGCCATCGGGGGACACACGCCCTGGGCGACCATAAAGCAAGTCTCAATAACAGATAGCTGCCATAGCACATGGGATAGCAAAGGGAGCGTCTTGTCCCAGAGCCAAGTGCTGGGCTCCAGGGACAAAGCTGTTTCCTGCTGCTGCCCTTAATGGTGCAGAGCAGCCGTGGTGGCTGGGCTGGAGCCGGGGATCTACAGGGATCCTGGAGAGGGGGAATGTGCCATAGGAACAGACATGAGCACCTCCAGGGTGGCCCAGTGCAGCAGACAATGGGAGCGCTGAGCTCCCAGCAGGACTGGGGTGTAGCTGCTGTCAGCAGTGCATTGTTCTTCCAGCCAAACCCTGGACACCAGGTTAGCATCGCCTGAGGAATAAGTGCCCAGTGTTTGGAATAATGTCCATCATTTTAATGCCTTCCTCGCTGCCCTGATCTCACCAAGAGCCGGGAAGGGAAGAGCCAAGGGAGAGCTGCTGGCTGCTCCGCACTGGGCTGTGGACCCAGAGAAAGGCAAAATACACAAAGGCAGAACAAACCTCCTTTGTGTGCTCCTTTACTGGGCTCATTGTCAGCAGCAGGACAAGTGAGGGGAGAGATGTGCATCTACCAGAGCAGCTTTCCTTTGCACTCAGCCGTGCATTGAGCACAGCTTGGGGCGTCTCCAAAGGCTGGCCTGGCAGGAAGTTTTCCATAGATTCACCGTTCCCAGGTGATCCTCATGTCTGCTTGAGGCTGAGATCTGGATGTGCTCCAAGGCTTGGAGCGACCTGGCGTAGTGGAAGGTGTCCCTGCCCGTGGCATCCATGACTGGATGAGCTTTAAGATCCTTCAACCCAAACCACTCCATGAGCGTCTCTTAACTTCCCAAGGGGTAGTTGCAATGCTGCAGGTGAGGGTTGGGAACCCTGCAGTGCTGGGTGCTGTACACCCATGAACCAGGTCTCCCAGCGAGGGAAACACCAGCAAGCTGGGTTGGAGGGGAGGAAGGATGTGTCATCATCCCTGATTTATAGCTGGTAAAACCGAGGGATGCTGGAGCCGGAGGGGCAGCCAGGCTCCTGCCCGCTGCAGTCCCTGCCCTGAGGTCTTGCTGTTTGCTGCAGGGCTCCTGTACATTAATAGGAATCGACTGCCCTCACTTCCTGCAGGATCCTGACCTCCTGGCAGGGGCTTTGCTCACTCACAGGAGGGAAATGTCAGGCTCAGAGCTGAGCCCGATGTGCAGATGTGGAGGGAGGAGAGAGCTGGCCTGGCTCTGCCCTCATCCCTCACCTTCTGCCGAGAGGAATTGCTGCAAACTTCTGCGTGATGGGCACATCGCTGCTCACCCCAGAGCCTGTGCAGGATGGGGCCCCCGCTCTGCAGGGCCGTGCTGCTCCTTGCTGCATCTCTGCCCATCGGAACCAACCTACCCCGAGCGCTCAGACTGTGCTGGGCAGGGGCCAGCTGGGAGCTTGGTACCCAGGGAAGATTCCATCCCGACAGCTGAGCAGCCACAGAGGCGGTCACTCGGTGGCCAGGGGCTGACATCCTTCCCTGCCCTCCTGCCCTTGCCCTGCCGGGATTCCCAGCTGCTGCCTGGGCCCTGGTCTATGTGAGAGTCATCCCGAGTGCTGGAATTCCCTCTGGCTTTCCAGAGCAGCCTCAGACCTCTCCCCATCCCCTCAGTGCCCATCCCCAGGACACGGCTCTGGCCCTGTTGGGGCAATCTGGGGGCATTGGAGGAGCTGGGCGTGCACAGGAGGGTGCTCTATGGATGGAGCCCCTGTGTCCAACCTGGCCCTGAACACTGCCAGGGATGGGGCAGCCACAGCTTCTCTGGGCACCCTGTGCCAGCTCCTCAGCACCCTCACAGGGAAGAGCTTCTGCCTAAGAGCTCATCTCAGTCTCCCCTCTGGCAGGTTAAAGCCATTCCTCCTTGCCCAAAGCCCCTCTCCAGGTTTCCTGGAGCCCCTTTAGGGGGTCTCCAGCCTTGTGATGTGAGGAGGGGCATGATTCAACTGGAGCTTCGACTCCTTGTTTATGTAGCCCCGTAGCCACACGCAGCGATGCTCGAGGGCTGTGTTTGCAGAGCAAACAGGGCTCCCTGAGCAGGATCCATCCTTTGCTGCTCGCAGCAGTGAATCCGTGCTGCCTCAGAGCCGGGAGCGGGAGCTGCAGCTGCTGAATAGGGCTGTTCATTTTGCCTTGTAAACACAACTGCGAACCTCTGGGTTTAAAACAAGCATCCCAGGCCCTCCAAGCCTCCCACCCTTTCAGCTGGGAAAGGGGGGCAGGAGTCTTTTGTAATGGGAAGGAAAAAACTGGAGCCACTTATCTGTGGAAAGCAATAAAGTGGTTACTGCTTGAAAGGCTTTCCGAGCCCCTGCAATGTGCTGAGGGAGAAAGGGGCAGGTTCAGACACTGATGATGGTTTGTCTGTGCCTAAAATACCTGCCTCTTGAGTTCCACAGCAGAGAGCAGGGGTTTGCTCTACAAATGCAAGAGATTCATGTGGGTAGTCCCAGCCCCAATGCCTCTGGGAATGGTTCACTGTGAAATAGAGAGTGTGGTTATTGCCAGTGCAGCAACTACAGCTTCAAACGCAGTGTTTAAGGAATCGTTAACATCTTGTCTTGGGCATGTGATGGGTTTTCCTGATGGGATTCAGCTTTGGGCTCTTTGAAGTGTTTCAGCCAAGTATTTACTCTGACTGTATTACAGCAAGTGCAGATCATTCACACTCTGGCTTTAATCCCTGGGCCTTGGCCAAATCCCAACCGGAGTGATTTCATTTTTGCCTACTGATGCCTAAATTCCCTGTTGCCACCTCAGACTGCTTCTTCCCCTCGTGTCCTGCCATGCAACGTCGTGTTCCTGCATGTTGTTAAGCAGCCAGCTTCTTCCGTCCTGGATGACTGCTGCTGAGGGCTTGCTGCGATTCCCTTCGAGACCCCGCAGGCTGGAAACCAAGCGATGTCACTGCTTCACTTTGCAAGTGTCCCTTTCTCTTGGAAGGTCAATAAATGCCTCCATTTCCTACACTAAATGGGGAGGAACAAGAGGCAGCCACGAGCAAGTCTTCCTTCCCACCCTGTAGGAGAGGGCTGGGATGCTCCCTTTAGCTGTTAAAGGGATGCACCCAAAGAGACAATGAGTACGGAGCGGGTTTGGGATCCATCCTGGGTACTCTTTTACCCACTGTTAGGGGTGCACAGCTTTGCTAAACCTCTCCCTTCCTCTCTGAGCTGTGATTTAAGCATCTTGAGGGACTGGCGAGGGGGATCTCATGCAGCTCTTTCTTCTCTGCCTGTTCCAGGTGAAGGCAGGCTGGTACCTTCAGGGGGATTTGAAGTCAGGTCATTGCAGTGCTTGCTGCTATGTGCCCTTGAACTGTGCTATGGACGTGGGCAAAAGCCTCTCAGGATGCTGCCAGAGTGCAGAGATGGGTGGAAACTTGCTTATGCTCCCTTCTGAAAGAACAGTCACTGGGGACTTATCTGAGCATTGTGGATTGGCTTTTGTTTGAGCCTCTGATGTGCCTGCTGCGAGCATCAGGGATTTTATTCTTTAGACTTTACCCTTGGCCATGAGGAAAGCACCAGCATGGAGACTTTGTTAATGCCTAATGCACTGCTGCCAGCATCTTTGTGTCTGTAGTGCCCAGGAAACATTGCAGTGTCTGAAGCCTCAAGTGGATGTGTCTAGCATCCTCCTGCCTCACTTTGCAACTGAAAGCGGCCTCCAGCCTCCCTTCCCACCCCCGGGCAGACACCCCAGCCCTCATTCCAGGTACACAAGCATTGCTGGCCAGGCTTTTGCAGCATTAAAGGTGGGGGATGAATGGGGATGGTTGAGGGATGCAAGTCCCAGGGTTCAGGTGAATCCCCGGGATCCTCGGGGATTGCACCCACAGCAGGGTGCCATGCCTCACAGCAGAGCCTGGCAGACACCCAAACAGAGTGGTTTTATTGCTGACAGATAATCTTTTAAGCTTTCAGATGCAGGCATGTCAAGCCAAGTGTTCCCGTTGCCCTGGCGACGCGATGCAGCAGCTCCCGGATGCTGTGTCTGATCGCATCAGTCTGGAATGTGATCACTTTGTGCTGATAAGCCCAGGGGTAGCAGAGGCAGGGAATTTGGCTGCTCAGCTGTAGCAGGAGCAGCCAGGAGCAGGGGGTGACCTGCTCCAGGAGGAGCTGCAGGGTGTGTGTAGGAAGGGACCAATCTTGTGTAGTTTTTGGTGCTTGTTTGGTACCCAGGGATGATGTGGGGCACTGGCACAGGGTGCCCAGAGAAGCTGTGGCTGCCCCATCCCTGGCAGTGCTCAAGGCCAGGTTGGACACAGGGGCTTGGAGCAAGCTGCTCCAGTGGAAGGGGTCCCTGCCCAGGGCAGGGGTTGGAGCTGGAGGAGCTTTGAGGTCCCTTCAACCCAAACCAGGCTGGGGTTCTGTGACTTTCCCCTTAAGATCCCCCCTGGGCCGGTGGCTGAGAGGAGCATTAAAGGAGCCCAGTGGTGTGAGTGGAAAATCCCCTGCCAGACAGGTTAGAGGATTGGGGTGATAAAGGCTGGTGGAGGACCACCCCTGTGCTCATCGGCTTGGGAAGGGGAGGGGGACAGGCCCAAACCTCCCGGGGCCTGGGACTGGAAGGGGCAGAGCTGTGGCTCTTTGGCTCAGACAGACCTGGCAGGAGCCACAGCAGGAAAGGCAAAGCCACGTGTGGCTCCCTCAGCCTGCTCCATGGCTGCTCAGCTCCGCACCCTTTGCCATGTGTCCCCGGGGGGGGTTCTTCCTTTAAGGGTTTTATTGCTTTAATCAGATCCGTGGCTGAGGCCATTCTAAAGCCTCTACAAGATGAGTCATTCGGGAGCCTGAGAGCCGGAAGCATCTCCCCTTGCTGTGGCTCTCGGGGATTGAACTTGCTCATCGCTGTTCACTCTGCACTGCTTTCCTTCTATTTCTGCCCTGCTTTTCCCCTCTTTCCTGGAGTTTCCGAGGATGCTGTAAGGCGCAGCCTGTATTGGTGCAGCTGATGGAGCGTGCACAGCCCTGCTCTGGGCTCACCACTGGTACCTGCCTCCAGGCTCTCACCCTGCTCTGTCCCGTTCCCCGCAGGGCTCTGCCATCCCTCGCAGCACGAGCCACGATGAACAAGATGAAGAACTTCAAGCGGAGGTTTTCGCTCTCGGTTCCCCGCACAGAGACCATCGAGGAGTCGCTGACGGAGTTCACGGAGCAGTTCAACCAGCTCAACAACCAGAGGAATGAAGGTGAGGAGCCTCCGGGCCCCTGCGCCGGGCTGGGGCTGCTCAGGAGCATCTGGGCTCAGTGCTGCCTGCAAACAGCTCCACTCCAGCCCTCAGGCCGTTCGCTGGGTCTGTGGAAAGTTACTGCCCCCGTGTCTGTGCTGCTTTCCCCCTATCCAGCAGCGTTAACACCGTGTCATTAAATCTGATCTGCAGAGATTTATACTTGCATAAGGAAAGCCTTATTAGGAGGGAAAGGTGTTTGCACAAAATGGAGAGGAATGACACATCCGTGGTTAAGGTGGAGAGTGGGGAAGTGTGGGATCTCCTCCTGCCTGCCCACAATGAAGGTGGTTGAGCCTCTCCAGGCTGACACCTCCACCAGGAGCAGGGGAGCACCAGGGACTCCATCCCTGATGCTCCAGGGAACCAGCCCTGGCTCCTGGACCCCACTGCTCCTGGGGTGCAGGTCCCAGGGAGCAGGGAGGTTTAGGGTTAACGCCTCCATCAGCTGAACAGGGCACATCCCTTCTGCAAACAGCAGCCTCCCTGCAGGCTGGGGCAGGCTCTGCTGTCTCCTGTGGGCACATCAAGGCAGAGGCACAGACGGGAGCGCGTCGTGCCGAGGTGGCTGTGCATGGGCAAGCAGGCAGAGCACTGACAGCCCTTTGGAAACCTGATAAAGTCAGACCCGATTCGTCCAGGGGTAGCTTTGCTGCTGCAGGAGCAAGGCTGGAGCGCTCCTGGCCATCACGTCGTGCGCCTGCTGCTGCCTCCTCCCGACAGCTCACTCCTGTCGGTGCCCTCAGCATCACTTGGGTCACGTTCAAGCTCTTCTTCCCCTCACCCTGCAGCCACAAGTGCTGGAAGCTTTGGCTGCAAGCAGGGGCTGAGGCCCTGATGTAAGTGCCTGGCACCGGCGGGGAGGGGTTGTCTCTGCCAGCAAACCTGCTTGAAAGGAGATGAGGCAACCTCATTTAGAGCTGGCTCCCCTCACCCCTGCAGCTCCCGATGCTCCTCTTTATCCCTCCAGGCTGGCCTCAGCAGCATCCCTTCATCCTGCCCTGCTCCGACCCACGCACAGCTCCCCTCACACCCTAGCAAGCTATCAGGGCTATAATTAGACTTGAGCCCTTAATTAGATGTGCAGAAGCTGTGGGGATAACATGGTGCAAGGCTAAGGCCTGGGTGCTTGGGGAACCTCTGCTCTGGGATGGCCGAGCCTGGGCTCCTTGTCTCTGCTGTGCAAACCCAGGGCTTGGAGAGGAGACTTCTCTGTTCTGCTTTCATGAGGTGTTTGTTGGTCACGGTTCTTCCTGCGCCCTTGAATGGCAAATGAGCACAAGCAGCATCTGCCAGTCCCGTGCTCTGGGCTTATGGTTTGCTCCTGAAGTAGCCAAAGGCTTCAGCCTGAAGGAGTTGGACTTGATGGTGTTGATGGGTCCCTTCCAACTCGAGGTACCCTCTGGTGGAGGGGGGCAGATCACTTTGGTGGTGCTGGGAGGGATGAGGAGGGGGTTTATGTGCACATTGCCCTCTCGCTGGGTTTGTGGTGAGGTTTGGACCTCGTGGGAGCTGCCGGGTCTGGAGAGGGCCCTGGTTTTAGCTCTCGAAGGGGTGTTCTCCCTTTTCTGGATGGAGAAATCAAAGTGCAGAGATGACTTCGCTTCAGCGGTGCAGAAAGTTGGTAGCAGAGCCCGGAGCTCTTCTCTTCCCCCTTGCTTCACATCTCACCTCCCTCACCCAGGACCTCTGACCGTGCCGCTGGGCTGCCTGCATGGCAGGAGCCTTGCCTGCAGGGACCTTTCCTCTCCCGGGGAGCCGGTGACCCCGGACAGCCCAGGCAGAGTGCGAATCACAGCCGAGCTCAGCACATCCCTGGTTTTCCTTCATCACCTCATCCAGCTCCTCAGGGAATGCCCTTTGTCTTTACCCTCCAGCATCGGCAGTCACCGGTTATCAGCACTCCCAGGGCCCCACAGGCTGCAGATCCTGCTCTCTGGTGCCTGGGAATGGTCACCCTGAGGAGGGTGATGCAGAGGCTGGATGAGCTCTCAGGTCCCTTCCAGCCCACACCAGGTTGTGATGTGGTTCTATGAGATGCTCCAGCAGTAGGTGCAGAGCTGCTCCCGCTCCTGCAATGGGCCAAGGCGTTCTCCTGGGTACAAACCTGCCTCCTGGGCTGCTGCTGTGATGGGAAATCCCTGCTCTGTTCCCTCCACCCCGACATTCTCCGGACCTCATCCGCAGAGGCCGATAAAACAAGGCCCGAGGGCAGCAGAACAGATGGGGAAGCAAACGGCTTCCAGGTGGGACACGTCCCGTCACGGGGAGCGGAGCAGACGGGACAGGGCTGCCCATGGGCTGCCTCGGGTGCTGAGTGCGGCTCATCCCACACAGCCCTGCCCTAGGCAGCCTTTCCTCAGCCATGGAGGCTGCTCAGCTGCAGAGGCAGAGGTGGAAGAAAGGCCCTGGGATAGAGCGGGCCCGGCTGGGCTCTGGGCTGGGTCTGATCTCAGAGATGGGAACCTTCTCCATGGCTGCTCCAGCTTCGCACTAAGGCTGAAGGAGGGAGTCTCCTTCCTCCGCTCCTGGGCTCCCCCATCCACACATTCCTCCCCATACTGCAGGTATTGAGGTGTCACATCCTGGTGTCTCCCGTTGGCTTTGGTGAGAGCTGGTGGCATTCAGCAGCAGCTCGTGTCTGTGGCAGGACTTTGCCCCAAGCCAGCTCCAACATGGTCTGTCCTCGGGACAAATCACACAAACCACAGAATCCCAGGAGGTTTGGGTTGGAAGGGACCTTAGGGAAGAGACCCCTTCCACTGGAGCAGCTTGCTCCAAGCCCCTGTGTCCAACCTGGCCTTGAGCACTGCCAGGGATGGGGCAGCCACAGCTTCTCCGAGCCCATCCAGCCTCAGTCTCTGGGCTGCAGGGGGTAAGTCCCGGTTTGCAGTGGCATAAATCAGAGCCAGCCCTGCCCTGTGGAGAGCAAGGGCGCAGGGAAGCGGTGCTGAGGGGAGGAAGGAGGATGGATGATCCTGGGTCTAACAGAGCCTTGTGAGGAGCGTTCATGCTCCGCAGGGTAATTAGAAGCTGTGAGTCAGGCGAGCAGGGAAGGGTTCTGGCCCCTTTCCCTGGGGGATCAAAGCTGGTGTTGGCAGAGGCAGTGGCTCAGGGTATCCATAAGGACAGGCGGGAGCTGGCGGAGGCAGCCGCTGTGTCTGCAGCCTCCCTTCAGCTCCCTTTGATACCCCCGCAGCCTCATGCCCGCAGTGCCGGGGCTCACCCTAATCCACATGAAATGCGGAGCAGAATCCAACCGCTCCTCGCCTCTGCATGCCCACAGCTTCCATCTCCTGCTCTGAGCACCCAGCAAGGTCCACGGGACCCCCCCAGCCCCAGCATCCGTGCGGGATGGGCGCCTCGCGACAACACGGGTGCAGTGGCACATCCCACCTTGCCCCTCTCTGTGTTTTGACATGCTTTCCCCAGCCTGCGGTCTTTCACCTCTTCTCTGTGTCATTCCCGTATTCCAATATCCCCAGTCCCATACTGGTGGTGTTTTACCTCTGGCTTTACATCCGATGCTCTTGTAGATGAGGAGACTGACACTGCTCTGCCTGCAGGGCTGCTGGTTCGGAGGCACGGCTGCAGATTAGCACTTTTCAGGGCAGGCTGCATCTTTGACCAAGGTTTTGGGCTTGTTTACCTGTGGGAACCAGCACAGATTCACCCAACCTCTCAGTTGAAGGGGATTGGTTGAACTCCCTTCACTCGGGTTTTCAGTGGCCTTTTCCAGGTAATTTGCTTCGGGAGTGAGCAAGTTAAAAAGATCAGATCTGCTTTAATTGATCCACGTTAATTTCATACCTGTGATTAATTCCGGGTAAGCTTCCAAACCCTTCCTGCACAAACAGATGGTGAGCAAGGGACAGGGACCAGCGTCCTGCAGCGGCCCTGGGAGAAGGGGGCCCTCTGTGCCTTGGTCCTTCCTGTGTGCCCAGCACCTCCTGCAGTGTTTGATGCTCCTGAGCCCAGTGGCTTGGGCTGATCCCATCCCTTCGGTGCGGGCTGTCTGTGCACACCCTGCATCCCTGAGCTCGCTGGTCCCCTGGTCCCGCAGTGACCGCGGCATGGACGCACGCCTCTTCCCAGGTCACTTGCCTGCCACCTCTCATCCATCAGCTGAGCAAACTGCAGCCAGGTCCCAGCCCTGCTCAGTGCCCCGTGACAAGCAGCCTCCAGCAATGAGCTCATCCCTGGCTGCCTCAGCACATGCATTAGGCAGGGCAGGGAGTCTGTGCAGCCCGGGGGAGGGCTTGGCGAGGGGCAGGGCTCCAAGGCACAAACTGGGGCATCACAAGAAGCCTGGAGAGGGGCTGTGGACAAGGGCCTCATTTCTTGCTCTCTTGAGGGTGTCTTGGGCTCAGTGAGGCCTCAAGCCTGGGGACCCTGGGGAAGAGTTGTTTCTCTGAGCTGCTTGGGTTTCCAGGAGGGCTTTTGTGCTCTCAGGGTTGGGGCAGGAAAGCCTCGAGTGTTTCCCCAGAGGCAGGGCTCTCTTCCTGGGATGCTTTCATACAGACCTAGCACAGAGCTAGGGAGGGGTTCCAAAGGGCAGGTCGTGGTTTGTCTAACGTGATGATAGTGAAGGTAATAGGAGGTTCAGATGAACACTCAGCCCTGCGGTGATGCTTTGAGCGCTGGGCTGGGACATGGGACATCTGCGTGGCCTTGGGTATGAAGCGGTTCCTGTCTCTGCATCCTTCTCCCTCTCTGCCAAAAGGGAGCCTCATTGCAAGGGGCTGCATGAGGGGTGCTGTGTGCGTGGTGATGCTCAGGAGGCTGCAGCAAAGAGCAGGTATTCCCTGTGCCTCCTGGGTACAGAGAAGGGAGGAGGCTTTCCCATGGCCCCAGAGCATCCCTGCCTGCTCTCGCTCTTTTTTCTCCAAAGCAGTGCCTTGGGCTTGGCCCTTCTGCTCACTCTCCTTTCTCTTTGTCCCCAGACCTGGCTCAAGGGCACCTGCAGCTGGGACACCTTGGCCGGGACTTCCGAGCAGACACCAGCCCCATCTCCCCATCCGAGGGGGAAGGCCAGACCCCGATGGCTGTGCGCTACCGCAGCGGCACCCAGCGCCGCTTCTCCATGGAGGCAGGTTCTGCTGCGGGACGGGGCGGGCAGGAGGGATGCGGCGGGTGCTGGTTGTCACCTACCTGCTGGCTGGGAGAGGGGGCTTGACCCGTGGGGACCTGAGCCCTGGCGTCCTCTTGGATGCACTGGGCATGATTCCCATGGTACCTGACAGAGCCCAGTGCACATCCCTGTGCACGCCTCCCCTTTCCCTTTTAATTTGCCTGAGGGTCCCGCAGATGCTGCCCCCATTGCTAAGACTAGCTCTATTTAGAGAGCATTTCTTCCTGCGTCACCAAATGGTTTGGGTTGAAGGGACCTCAAAGCTCCTCCAGCTCCAGCCCCTGCCACGGGCAGGCACCCCTTCCACTGGAGCAGCTTGCTCCAAGCCCCTGTGTCCAACCTGGCCTTGAGCACTGCCAGGGATGGGGCAGCCACAGCTTCTCTGGGCACCCTGTGCCAGCGCCTCAGCACCCTCATAGTGAAGAACATCCCTGTCCAGTGCTGCCATCCGGTGCATTCATGCCCTGCTGCTCCGTCCCTCCCTGCAGGATGTCAGCAAGCGCCTCTCCCTGCCCATGGACATCCGCCTGCCCCCCGAGTTCCTGCAGAAGCTGCAGATGGAGAGCCCGGAGTTCCCCAAGCCCCTCAGCAGGATGTCCCGGCGGGCTTCCCTCGTAAGTGTCACCGCAGCCAGGGCACGCACACAGCCCCAGCCAGCTGAGTGCCCCCAACCCACGCAGTGCCCCGCTGTGCGAGCTCCCCGTGCCTTTGACACACGCATCTCTGCCCATGCAAACCCCTTTCAGCGCACATTCCCCCACCGTGCACACTTGCATCTCTGCTGTGCAGATCCCTTCACTCACCTCTGCACGTCCCTGCCTTGCCTCTTGGCCTGGCTCCTTCCAGATGGGAGGAGGTGGAAAACCTCCGGTGCTGGAGCCGCTGCTGCTTGAAATGCAGATGCCGATAAATAATGAATTAGCCCTTGCATTAATGTTGGCATCTGTTTCTTTACTGCAGAGCATCAGCACGTGGAGTAAAAACCTGCTGCCCTATTTACACCGGTGCAGGCGCGTGTCCTGCTGCCCAGGGGTGCTCAGTGCTGTACAGAGACAACAGCGAGGTCTCAGCAGGGCTGTTCAGATCTGACGTGCCTTTTCAGGGGAGGGAGGAGGAAAGGAGAGCCCGCATTTACCTGCCTGTTCTGTCTCATCAGTAAACCAGACACAGCCAGAGCAATGTGCCCTCAATACTCATGGTCCCCTCCATGAATGAGGCATGGTCCTGCAAAACTCATGGCTCTGGGGTGTGCACAGCACCTCTGGTTGCAGCAGCCACTTCAGTTCCCTGCTCAGGACCCGGCTGTTGCAGAGGGTCTGGGGAAGCCAACATGGAATAAAGAGATCCGCTCTGTTCCCCTGGGATTTGCTGGTCCAGATGCAGCCTGTGTGAGCAGGAAAGCAGCATCCCTGCTGCGTGAGCAGCTTGTGAGAGCTCCGTGGTCTGGGCAGAGCCTGTGGCAAGGAAAAGCCCTCCCGTGCGGCAGAGCTGGGGAACAGGGGATGATGCTGTGAGAGCATCCAACCCCTGGGGCTGCTGGTTCTGCAGGCAGGGCCCTGGGCACAGCGCAGGGGCTCCTTCAGTGCCTCCCTTCCCTGCAGAGCCCCTGCTGACTGACCGCTGTCCGTTCAGCTCCATCTGGTGATGGTGAGAGGCATGGCAGTGATTTGCCTTGGGAGCCATCCCCTACCCGGCACACAGAGGTCCATGGCAGGGGTTGGAACCGGATGATGTTAAGGTCCTTTCCGGCCCACACCATTCCATGACTTTATATTCCAGACTAACCAAAGAGGTGTCTCTGTTCCCACAGAAAGCAGCAAGGAGCAGCACCTAAACCTGTGGCCTGTTGCCCTCTTTCACTGGGAGCAGGTCTCAGCAGTGCACAAAAGAGTTCGTTCCAATGGGGAAATGTCCCTTTCACGCTCCATTTGACCAGCACACAATGAGCAGAGTCCTGGTAAAGACCAGGGTATAGGAAAGCACTGGAGGAAAGGCGGTGGTGTGGCAGGGAGGTGGCTGAGAGGAGAAGGGAGCTGCAGGGGGAAGGGGCAGTCGTGCAGCCTGATGCTGGTGCATCCGTGATCCCTCCCAGTGATGTTTTCCTTTCTCTCTTGCAGTCAGATATTGGGTTTGGGAAGCTGGAAACCTATGTTAAACTGGACAAACTGGGAGAGGTGAGTAGAGCATGAATGCCCTGTATGGATTTGAATTTAGAAAGGGAGACTGTAGCCAAATTCCCTCAATGCCCTAGCAATTCCTAGAATGTCTTTCTGTGGCCTTCTGACTTGGCCGTTGCTTCAAGTGATCCTCCCTCCAAGTGTTACGGAGCACACCAGTGTGGTGCCATTGGTCAGTGCTCTGCAGGGCTTGTGCTTTCTCTCTCCCCACCCAGGGCACTTACGCCACTGTCTTCAAGGGGCGCAGCAAGCTGACCGAGAACCTCGTTGCCCTGAAGGAAATCCGCTTGGAGCACGAGGAAGGGGCACCTTGCACGGCCATACGGGAAGGTGAGGCCAGGAGGGGCTTTCCCCATCGCAGGATGCAGTGCTAGGTCGTGGATGGCTTTGGGATGGCTGGTGTGGGGTGACCGGTGCAGTCACACAGGGCAGCCCCAGGGCCTGCTGCCCCATCCTGCCATGTCCTCTCCCTGCAGTGTCACTGCTGAAGAACCTGAAGCACGCCAACATCGTCACCCTGCACGACATCATCCACACGGAGCGGTCCCTCACCCTCGTCTTCGAGTACCTGGTGGGTCTGGGGGGCTTTGTGTGGGAACGGGGGGACGGCTGCGGGTCGGGGCAGGAGAGGCTGACGTGTGCCTCCTGTTGCAGGACAACGACCTCAAGCAGTACCTCGATAACTGCGGGAACCTGATGAGCGTGCACAACGTGAAGGTAGGACGGGGATGTCTGCGTGTGGGGAGCTCAGGGGAGCGTGGTGCTGCGGGGCTGTGTGAGCCTGGACCCCTTCTCTGTGTGCTTCGTTCTTGTTATTGTGATGCTCCACCAGCATTGCTCCCCTCGCTGCCACCCTCCATAGAATTACTGTGCATGCAGACGTTGTTCATCCCCCGGTGATGGGCCTGAACACTTGCCTGTAGCGCATCCCACCCCAGGCCAGCTTCGAGGGGGCTTTCCTCCCATGAGCAGACTCACTTTGGTGCCCGTGTCACCATGCTAAATGCAAACCCCTTCTCCTCCCCACAGATCTTCATGTTCCAGCTGCTGCGGGGTCTGGCTTATTGTCATGGGAGGAAGATCCTGCACCGAGACCTCAAACCCCAGAACCTGCTCATCAACGAGAGAGGGGAGCTCAAGCTGGCTGACTTCGGTGAGTGGAGCTCGCTGGGGAGGGTGCAGCATTGCCAAGAGGCGCAGCTCCTCAACGCCCGTCCCTTTCGCCCTCAGGACTAGCCAGAGCCAAGTCAGTCCCTACAAAAACCTATTCCAACGAGGTGGTCACGCTGTGGTACCGGCCCCCCGATGTCCTGCTGGGATCTACCGAGTATTCCACCCCCATCGACATGTGGTGAGCTCCAGCCCCAGCTCCCTGAGCCCTCTGAGCTGCTGGGCTGGGCATTTCCACCTCAGTACTGTACATGCCCAGCGCTGGTTACACCGGAGGGTGCTGGGATCACTCTGGTTCCGTGTCCCCTGGGCTCAGCCCTTTGGAGCCACATCGGGGTGAATGGTTTCCTGTAGCGGAGGGGGGACGCAGCTCCTGGAGCTCGTTTCCCTCTCCCGGAACCTCAACCTCAGCCCTGGCCAAGGGGTAGGGGGGTGCCCCCAGGGCTCCTCCATCCCTCATGCCAGGGTCTCTGCTGCCGCTTTAGGGGCGTTGGGTGCATCCACTACGAGATGGTCACCGGGCGGCCCATGTTCCCCGGCTCCACCGTGAAGGAAGAGCTGCACCTCATCTTCCGGCTGCTGGGTGAGGCCCGGCTTGTGCTGTGCCCGCAAACGGCCACGGGAGGGCAGTGCGTGACCGCGGGACGGCGGCGGGGGCAGAGCGGGGTCCGCACGGGCCGGGTGCGGGGCGGTTCCGGCCTCTCTCGGCCGCCGACAGCCGCTGCGCGGGGCGCTGCTCCCTGCACCACGCAACCGTGGCCCGTTTCCGTTCTTCCCCCCGCCAGGAACCCCGACAGAAGAGACCTGGCCCGGGATAACGTCCAACGAGGAGTTCAAGGCGTACAGCTTCACACAGTACCGAGCGCAGCCGTTAATAAATCACGCCCCCAGGTACCTCCTTGAGCAGGGACATGGGAGGCAGGAGGCGGGGTTGTGCTGGCTGGGGAGCACCGGTTTCATTTGCTCCATGTGGGGGTGGCAGCTTCTAATGCAGCTGTGCGTGGAGGTCCCGGTGCCGCTCGTCCCTTGCGGTGACCACTGCAGTGTCTCCTGGGTGCAGTAATGCTCCGTTCTTTATTTCCTCCTTCTCTCAGGCTGGACTCGGAAGGCATTGACTTGCTGATGAACCTCCTTTTGGTGAGTGGTAGAGCACCCCCCATGAGGATGGCAAAGGGATTCTGGAGCCAGGCAGGAGAGGGGCTGTGGCTGCAGAATAAGCCATGGCCCTACAGCTATAGCCTTGTATAAGGCTATAGTCTATAACCTTAATGGGATGCTATAACCGACCTCCCATTAAGGACGGAGAACCAACCTTTACACCGTGTCCTCTCCAACGCGAGTGAGAGGGCACGAGCCCGATGCTCCATAAGGTGCAACATGAGCAGTGCCCCGCTGTGCTCACACAGCTCGTGCCGTGCCCTGCGCCCGCACAAGCAGCACTGGGAGCTGCCTTCATGGTGCGTGCAGTGCTTGGACCCACGGTCACCCGCATGCATCGTACTGCTTGGGCGCTCCCATGCGTGTGGGTGCGCTGTGCCCCCCGGTGCGTGCGCGTGCCTCGGTGCAGCTCCCGCGGCAGCCGGTGTGTAACCGCCTTTCCCTGTGTGCAGTACAAAGCCAAGGGCCGGATCTCGGCGGAGGCAGCCCTGCGGCACCCGTACTTCAAGAGCCTGGGGGAGCGGGTGCACCTCCTGCCCGACAGTAAGTGCACGTGGAGCCCCGGGGGGGCCGCAGCTGTGGCCGCTGCCTCTCGTCTCTGCTCAGCCGGGCTGGGGGGAGTGTGGGGGCTGCGGGAGCAGGAAGCATTTTGGCTGGGACGGGAGCGATGAGCGTGAGGGAGCAGCTCCAGTGAGGTGCAGGGCACTGGGGCACCGCTGTCCCTCTTGGACTGACCCGTCTCTGTGTGCCCCCCCCGCCAGATGCCTCCATCTTCTCCCTGAAGGAGATCCAGCTTCAGAAGGACCCTGGCTACCGAGGCTCAGCCTTTCAGCAGTCAGGTAGGACTGGGGAGAAGCGTCCTGACCCCACGTGGTGCCGTGGGTGCACTGGGGTGGATCTCAGTGGGTCCCACATAGGAGAAAGCCAAACCTCCTCCTGCTTCCTGCTTTAGTCCATAAATCATCCCCGGGGCATCCTTGCTTGTCATTTACCACGGTACCAAAGTCTCATCTCTGTGTCCTGAGACGCCGCTCCCTCCTCCAGGACTGATGTGGGCTCATAACCTCCTCTGCAAAGTGCTGCTCCCCACCTGACCTCTCTGACCCATCTTTCTCTCTCTTCCTCAGCCCGAGGGAAGAACAGGAGGCAGAGTATATTTTAAACTTGGATCTCGTGTTCCCCTCGTCACCATGGAGATCAGAGCACTGAGAAAGGAGACGGCAGCTCCCACCCGACCACCGCAGTTACTGACTCCAGCAGGACCATGCTGAAGCGCCCTTGGCCTTAGGCTCTCCCCTGCCTGTCCCCACCACCACAGCCCCTAATAGCTGCTGTTGAGGGACCTGTTGCCTTTCTCCCCTCTTGTTGTCATGTTACCCCCATCAGACGTGACCTGCACGTGAAGCACAAAACACAGGGCAGCCCTCCCTTATTTGCCCTTGCCTGTCTAGAATCCCTTTTTCTCTCCCCATCTTTTGCACCTGAATCCTGACAAGGATGGAGCAGCTGGGGGGGGGGGGGGGGGGGGGGGCTTCCCCCTGCTTCCCCAGCATCTCCCCCTCCATTGTGTTCCCAAATTCAGTCAGCTGGATGCTCCCCAGGGATGTCCTGAGCTGTGAGAGCCAGGCCTGGCTTATCCTGCCTGGGGAGCAGATACCTGGTGGTGGGGCTGCGCAGAAGTGGAGCCTGATGTTGGCTCTGTGCTGCCTCCAAGGCCTTCATCCGGCCCTTCCCCAGGCACCGATGGAGCAGCCCCTTCCTCTCGGATCCTGCTGCCCCACCACCCTCTGTGCCAGCGTCACGAGGGGCAGGACATGGCTCCCAGCCAGCATCTCCCCCCGTGCTGAGCATCCTCTGCACAGCAGCGTGTTGCACACACCCACCTCAGTGCGGCTCTACCCAGAGGAAGGGGGGAGAGGTGCCAACCCTCCCACAGCTCAGCTGTGGGTACCAGAAATAGACCCGCAGAGAAGCAAATCCTCCCTCAAACCTCCCTGCCTGGCCTCTATGTTTGCAGCCAGCACCAGATCGTACCAGCCCTGACTCAGACTGATGCTGTGTGACCGGGATGTGCGCTTAGGTATGAACGGGCTTTGCTGGCCGAGGACTGCTCCTGGTGTGTCTTCCCCTCGGTACTTCGGGAATGTGCCAAATCCATCCCGAGTGAAGAGGCCCCTGCTGCACCTCTCCCCCGCAGCCCGCAAACAGCCTCAAACGTCTGCGAGTGTGTGAGCGTCGTCTCCCCACTGTATAATACCCACATCCCTGCTCTGCTCGCTGGTCCTCTCGCCCACCTCCAGCCTCCAGCCATGGACGTGGACAGGACACTCGGGACTTGGCAGGTGCTGTGACCATCACCTGGCGTTGGGACTGGCAGGACATGCCGATGCATTCATCCGTCACGCTCTCCTGCCCCATTCCCAGGGGGCGAGGGCTGTTTTCCGCTCTGCTCCGTGTCGTTTGTCCTGGGATCCTTGGAAAATGCAAAGTGTGAGGATAAACGTGGAGACCCTGGAGGTCCCCAAAGCTTCGGGGTCGACTCCTCCCTGTGGCAGTGCTTGCTGCGCCCTCTGACACCCCCCATCCCCGGTCCAACCAAGGCTGTTCGTTCGGGTTTGTCCTAGACAAGCATCCAGACGTCTGCATTGTTTGAGGTTTGCCCATCCCTGCTCCGTTCCTCTCGCCGTGTCCAGCGCAGCTCAGGCTGAATAGTTCATTAATTGTTTCCAGTTGATAGGGAAGAGCATGAGCAGCCACCAGTGACGCACTTCACCCCCATGGCAGGGGAGTGAGTGCCTGGTGCCTGCCCCCGGCTCCTGCTCCATGGGGCTTTGCAGCGGGGAGGTTCACAATGGGAGGGGGCAGCCTCAACCCTCCCGTTGTCATCTGTTCCTTGACACAGGCGTTTCCTGGGCTGGCAGGGGTCTGTGGTGCAGACACGCTCTTCCCAGGCAGCTCCCAGCAGAAGGAGCTCAGCAGGCAGGCTCACGGGTACAGCGTCCTCTGCGCAGGTCCGTGGGGTGCAGAGCGTGCTGTGCCTGGGGGATACAGCCCCGATGAGAGCAGGGGGAGCAGGAACCCCCTCCACACAGCCTGGAGAAGCTCATCCTGGATGTGTGACCTGTCTCTGTGTGGGTTTCTTCCTTGGCGTTGCCGTCCCCGTGCACAGAGATTGCCTCTTGCTGGGGCTGTCACGGGGAGGAGGGGGCACAGCACAGCACATCACCACCCCTGCAGGCGCAGCTCTAACCCCACAAGAGGGAGAGTCCTTCTGAAGGTCAAGGTCACCTCCAGGGGGGAAAGCCTAGCAATGATCATGTAGACAGACCTGCCTTGCCCGGGGTCAGATGGCAAAGACAAAGAGCCTCTCAGCTGCTGTTTGTTCTTCATAGCCTTTGCCTTTCCCCGTACAAATCCTCCTCAAAGGAAACACTAATATTTATTAGCCCTGTGAGCTACTGACAGCCCAAATACAAGATAACCCCTTTTGTTCCACCGCATTCAGTGGGTGTTTGGTTCCTGTGTGTCAATATTTGGTGTCCCGCCGAGCAAGTTGAGCTCCTGTCGCTGCTGCCCTTGCTTGTGTAGGTCCCCTGAGGACCATGGGTCTGACAGGGATTGTGAGGATGGGCATCTCTTGGATTAAGGAAGTAATAACCCCCTGTGCTGGGCACTACAACTGCCTGAGAGGAGGATGGAGCCAGGAGGGGCTGGGCTCTGCTCCCAAGGAACAAGGGAGGGGACAAGAGGAACCGGCCTCAAGCTGCACCAGGGCAGGTTCAGATGGAGCTGAGGAACAATTCCTGCCCCAGAGGGTGCTCAGGCATTGGAACAGGCTGCCCAGGGCAGGGCTGCAGTCACCGTCCCTGCGAGTGTTCACACACTGTGGAGACGAGGCCTCAGTGCCATGGGGCAGAGGTGGCCTTGGCAGTGCTGGGAACGGTTGCACTGGATGATCCTAAAGGGCTTTTCCAACCCGTTTGATTGTGATGCTCCCGTCTCAGAACTCCTGAGCTCTGCTCCCGCTGCTTGCAAGGGCAGCCCCATATGGTGGGGCTGGGATGGCTTCGCTCCCTGCCTGCTCCAGGAGCTCCTTCCAGGCAGGCTTTCCCCAGCTGGATGCTTACAGCAGCATTAATGAAGATGCTGGGAATGGCTGTGGCTCTCCGGCGTTTCTTTCATTCCGTGGGTTCCCCCATCCTGGAGCTTTGACAAAAGAAAACTGTTGTTTTGTCTTTCCAGACATTTTTCTTGCAAATATGGGGTTTTGTTACCGGTTCTGGTGGAAAATGGAGTTTTTGGCTGGTCCCTCACAAAAGGCCCTGTTCTGTCGCCTCTCCAGCTGATAGCTAGCTCAAGAAATGTAAGTAACGGCATGTGTGAAGCAAGGTCAGTGTTACAGGACAGCAATAAAGAGGCAGAGCTGTTTAATCTCACCCTCTCCATGCACGCATGCACACGCCTTTCCTGGCCAATGCGGTGCCAGATCTATTTAGGACTTTAAATAGCAAAACCACATCGTATCTTGGAGACTAGGGACAAAATAAGTGGGTTTTTTCCTTTCCCTTTACACATGATGAGAGGGAAATAATGAAAGCCATTGGAAGGCCGTTTTCCCAGGCTCAGATGTCTTGGTTTGGGAACCTGCCTGGCTCTATGGAGCCCCGCTCCACTTCCACCGGCACGTATGTGGTGTCCTGCATGGAGCTGGCTCGGAGCATGGAGCCAGCGGTGGCGGAGCGGGTCCTGCCGGGGCTGTCAGGGCTTGATCCTGAAATCCACCAGGTTGGAAGTGGTGTGGTCTCACTGCCTGTCCCCGTGCGCTCCCTTGGGTGTCCCCTTTGTGCTTCCCGCTGTTACGTCTGGGCACAAACACCGTGATACCCGCTCTGTGGAGCCTTCACTGCCGCCGCCTTCCATCCTCAGCATCACGCTTGTCCTGCAGCAGGAATAGCAGACCCGAGCAGCCGGGACGCGCAGACTGTGAATGTTCTCTGGTGTGATCCATCTGCAGAATGCCAATAATATATTTAAGTAGTGTGGGGCAAACGGAAGATGCGTTTTAAAAAGAAATGATTTTAAAGATTTATTCCAAAAGAAGCAATGATTTTTATATATATAGAGAGAGAGAGGAAGGTTTTTCTGGAATGAATGGAAAGGTACAAAAAATGTTTAAAAAAAAATAAAGGATTGTATCCATCTCTCAATCTTGTGTCTGAATGTTTTCTATTTCAACTTTTGTATTTCAGATGTGACCTGGACTATTTTGTGGATGTGCTTATTTTATTGCTGAGGCTGATATTCCACTTGTGTTGTGAATGCTCCGAGGCCAAGACTGGACAATAAACTTCATTGAATTCAGGATAGTTTTGTACAGGGTTTAATGTCTCTTTTCTCTTCTCCTTTGGTAGGAGCAGGAGCTGCTTTGGGGCTGAATGTCAGCTGGGTAGCACTGATGGCCCAGGCTGCGCATCCCTTGCGGGGCTCCAGAGCGGTGAGTTGCTCCGTGCTGAGCAAAGAAGCCCCAGACACAATGCAAAAGGACTTTTGCACTCCGTGACCTTGGCAGAGGGTTGAAGCACAAGACCTCAGGAGCCAGTGTGCAATAGGAGAAGGTTCCTGTGGTCCCTCGCGCAGATCCTAAGGCCCTGAACAAATATTGCCATAAGGCTATCGGGTAAATAAAGCACGGAGCTGTGACCTGCCCAGCCCGCGGTTGCAAAGCAACTGAAGGGCAGAGCTGGGGAAGGGACAGGGCAGCCCTGCTTCCCACAGCTCTGGCAGCCAAAAGTCCCCCTCAGGTCAGGCTGCTCAGCACAGCAACCCCTCCGTGGTCCTGTGCTCTGGTCCATCAGTGCCGCAGAGAGGCTGCAGCCGCACGGAGCTGGGAAGAGCCAGAGGTGGGATTATGGGGGCACCTGTGGGATCTCTGGGGCCAGAGCCGTGGTGTGAGCCCGCGGGTGACGGGAAGGGGGCCATGCCCTTCACCCCCTGCCCTGCTGCACCTCGGCTCTGCCCAACCCGCCTGAGTCACATCCAGGCCCTGACATGGGCAGGTCCCCAGGAAGGACCTGTTTGCTGAACCAGTTCCTCCCTCTGCTGCTCTCATTCCTCCAGTCTCACCGGGGCGGTGGCATCGGCAGGGAATGCACCGAGTGTCCCAGCACACGTGGAATCCCAGCCTGGTTTGTGTTGGAAGAGACCCATCACGCCGTGTTCTACCACGACAGTCCTGCCCAGGGGTCCAGCCAGTGCCCAGGTGTTCCCTGCTGCCCAAACAGCAGTGACCTCCCTGCTCCATGCCCCTCCATGCCTCACCAGGATGCTCAAGCCCGGTCTCTGTTTGCTCCCCTGGTCTCTCAGCGTATCTGCAAAGCAGGGATATCAGATGCCCTAAATGGGATGGTGTGTGTGCTGTTAAATTACAGGTCCAGGTCGGGAGGCTCAGCCTGGTCATTCCATTGCAGGCCACCCTCCTCTGCAGCAGTTTTAGTGCAGTAAAGGAGGAAGCACATTGACTCCAGCTCAGGCTGAGTGGGCGGTAGGAAAACATGTAGGTGAGTGCTTCCTCCTCTTAGACAAGTGTTACAGGATCTGAACCAACCGAGCCAACATCTCAGGCTGATGTTTGACCCAGAAGTGGAGCCAAGCTTTCCAAATCTCACAGGGTGTTCTGAAACCCTTGACTCCAAAACAACACGAGGTGAGCACCTCTCTTGTGCAGCCCAGCCCATTCGTGCTGGGTTGTTGAGCTTCTTACATGCAGCCTCAGCCCATATGGAGAGCTGACCCTGTGCTGTAAGAAGCATCACATCTTGTCTCAGTAAGGTTCAGTGATTCAGGGTGGTTATTTCCTTACCTGCCCAAGCTTGGTGCTGGGCTTCGGGGTTGAGTTGGAGCTGTTGAAATCATCAGTGCCCCTGTCCCCAAATGCACGCACAGCTCCTCAGCCCATCACCCCAGCTCGGGGCATCACTGGGATGATGTGTTGGGATTTCTGAGGGTGTCAGCCTGCATTTGCCATTTGTGGTCTCGGGGAGAGAGGGAACCTCTTTGACAATATCTCGGCCCTTGGCAGGAAACCTGGAGAGGGGCTTTGGCCGAGTGCCTGTAGGGACAGGACAAAGGAAATGGCTTTAACCGGCCAACCCAAACCAGGCTGGGGTTTGGTGTTGGAGAAGTAGTTGCCCCACCGGCTGAAAGGATTAAACTGCTGCAGCGCCCGGCCCTGCAGGGGCTCTGCCTGCCCCAGGAGCGTGCGAGGACACGGGCAGCAAAGGAAGGTGTTCCTCGAGCACTGGTGGGATGGCTGTGATGGACGCAGCGGGTGCCGCTGCCGCCCGCAGTCGCGCTGCGCCGCTGTGCCTTCATTCAGGAGTTGGCTGTGCGGCAGGCGCAGGAGTGTGGGTGTTTAATTCATTGCAAGTATAACCTTGATTGCAGTTTGGAAAACAGCCTCAAGTGCCTCCTCGGAAGCTAATTCGGGTATTGCCTATCCTAGTCCTGTGGCTTGCATCTCTATGAGGTGCCTCTGAGGAGCTGGGCTCCAGTGCGTGGAGCCGGAAAGGATCGGTGTGTTCTCATGCTGACGAACCCACCTACGCTCTGGTTCTTATTTGCAAGCAGATCTCTGCAGGATTTGTGTTATCCCTGATAAAACGCTCGATATTCCTGGAAGGAAGAGTGCTGATTAGGCCATTGATTAGCAAAGGGGGGTCCGCTCTTCCAGCTGGGATAGGGGCTGAACTACCATCTGTAACCCAGGCTGTACTACCGTCTGTAACCCAGGCTGTACTACCATCTGTAACCTCTGGTGCCTGGATGCTGCCTTTTCACCCAGGAGTGGATGCAGTGAACCTGCAAAGGTGGGCAAAGTGTTGCTCAGCCATTTTATGGGTGGGGAAGTCAAGGTCCAGAGAGCTGATGCTATTAAGTGCTGGTGATGCAAGAAGGGAAGCCAGGAGCAGGGTGCAGGTCGCCTGACTCCCTGCCTGGTAAAGGGGGAACCAAGTTTGAGAACAAGAATGGTCCAGGGGAACCACGGGTAAAGCCCTGTCAGCCCTTTTCTTGGAGCATGGCTCCTGGTGTGTGGATCTGCTGTTCCATCAGGTAACTCCATGCATAAGGAGATGGATGGACGAGGGTGGGGAGATGACTCTCCCAGCAGTGCTTTGATGGAAAGGCTTTCCTGTCACAATCCTGCCTCCCTTGGGCTGTTGTGTTGGGATAATGAGGGATTCTGCAGTGGTGTGACCTCTGGAAGCTGGTTATTGCCTGGCAGGGAGAGCCCAAGGCCATGGCTCCCAAGCCATGGATCAGCCTCTCCCTCCCCTCCATCAGGCTGTTAAGGGAGATGCTTTATCACGTCATGGTACAACCCAGTTTCCGGCCATGCTGGTGACTCACTCCATGTCCATGGTTCATTCCTTTCTGACCCTCAATTTCCCCATCAGTAAAACAGAACATTACCCCAGCCCTGCACCAGCTGTGCTGGTCCTTTGATTGCTTAATGGCTTCAGGTGCCCCACAGGTGCTGCACATAAGGGCAATGAGGGCTTTGTTGCCCACTACCTGCCCTCTGTTGTTCCCCACAGTTCACTTTGGTGGTGGAAGAGGATAGGCTTCTGCTCCTTTTCCTATGGGAAGACTCCAGTGGATACCACAGACAGGGAAGAACGAGGATTCGGATGCAATTTGGATTAGCTAAACATTAAGCTATGTCCAGGTGGAAATGAGCACCTGCAGCCTGGAGCAGCATTCCTGAGGTCACAGGATGTGTGAGTACGTGTGTGAGGTCCCTGGCTCTGCCATGGGAGGGGATGTGGTGCGCAGGCCTGGAGCCAGCCCAGAGCCATCGATTCTGCTTTGCCTGGAAAGAGTGTTCTAAAAATTGCCATAGTCTTTCCTAGCTAAAGTAGGTGAAATATTTATAAACCCAGCCTCTAGAGGAGACCTTTTGCGTAAGCATCAACTGCTCCGGCTTTCAAACAGGAGCTTCCCCCCCCCCCCCCCCGAGCCATCTTGTGCTTCTCGGCCACAGAAGGGGCAACTTTAATTGCGTTTGTCTGGAACGCCTGAACCTATTTACGGGTACGGGAGACCGCAGGGACGGTCACAGCAGCAGGAGAAAAGGGACCTGGGGGCTTCCTTCCCTGGCTGTGCTCGGCTGCGGCCGGAGCGTGGTGTCAGTGTGTGTGTGGGGGGCAGCTTTTGGGTACAGAAACCCCCAATGGGGGTCCTGGGAGTACCGGGGGTGGGGGGAGTCGGGATGCTTTCGGTCCCCGGAGGGATGCGCTGGAACGGGGATGCTCCGGGGCTGAAGGGGGGCTCCGTGGGGTGGAGGGGAGCTCGGGGGGGCTCCGCCCCGGCCCCGGGAGGCGGCGGCGGTCCCCGGTCCCGGAGGCGGAGCCAGCGCCCGGCGCGGCGCCGCGGGCTCCGGAGCCACATCCTGCAAGGGAGGAGCGGGGCCGGGAGCGGAGCCGGGAGCGGGGCCGGGCGGCGCGGGAGCCGCATCGCCGTGGCCGCCCCGCGCCGCCGCCCAGGATGTGGTGGGACGAGCGGGTGTCGGCGCGGTTCCGGAGGAACCTGCAGCCCACCCTCACCTACTGGAGCGTCTTCTTCAGCTTCGGGCTTTGCATCGCGTTCCTGGGGCCCACGCTGCTGGACCTGCGCTGCCAGACACAGAGCTCCCTCTCCCAGATCACTTGGGTCTTCTTCTCCCAGCAGTTCTGCCTCCTGCTCGGCAGCTGCCTCGGAGGGGTCTTCAAGAGGACGTAAGGCGCCTCCCGCAGACCCCCCCCTTCCCCTGTCCGAGGCTTCGCCTCCCCCCCGCATTCCTCCATTGGGTTGGCGTGGCCGAGCCGGGATGGGAAAGCCCGAGGGGAGGGAAAACCGCCCCTGGGATGCGGGGCTGGAGCCGTGCTCCCCGCTCCCGCCTGGTCCCGTACCCCGCAGAGAAGCCACCGTTCCCCCGGCGCTCAGCATGGGGGGAGCCTCGGTGAAGTTCCAGCCAGAACTTCCAGGAGGGGATTTGCCTTAAACCGGGTTTCGATCACGGCAGTGTCGTCGGAAGCCTGTTCGGACAACCTCGGTGTCGGGGATCGGGGCACTGCTGTGCTCCCTGCGACCGAGCACGAGGCAAGACGCGAGTGGCCCTCGTGGTCCCATTGCTGGGATGCAGCAGCGCACTCCATGGGCCAGCGCGAAACGCGGGCAGGGATTTGTCCAGGATGTGTTTTAAGTCCCACACGAAGGCTCAGCCCTGACGATGGCCAAACAGGCGTTTGATTTGCGGCTTGGTGGCGACTGAGCTTCAGCTGCTTATTTACCTTGTCACTAGTTCTTCAGGCAGTGATGTAACGTGTGAGCTCGGGCTGTCTCTGGTGTACTCGTCGTATGTGTGTTTTAACGGGGAGAATATGGGGGAATTTTGCATGAAGCCTTCACTGTAAAATGCCGTTTAAAGGTGGTGCGTTCAGCTCTTGTGGGTTGTGGCTGATGAGGGTGGCTTTAGAGCACCTGTTAAACTGCCATCCTGGTACATTGAACCCCAGTCTGGACAAGGGCCCGGGGGGGTCATGGAGCACCTCCTGGTCGGGCTGTGCCCGGAGGGGTGGCTGCATGGCAGTGGGGGCAGCACACGGGAGCCTTGCCCCGGGTCTGACACGGATCTGGGGCTGCTGGGTCAGCGGCAGCGCCTCTGCCAGCCCTCGCTCTGCTTCACGTGTGCTTGAAGGAGCAAATGCGCGATTGTTTCCTGCTCTCTGCTTCCTCCCCGCTGCTCTCGCCCTCGCCCAGCCGGTTCCATGCACCCCAATGGGGCTTTGTGCTCAGAGACTCCCGAACTTTGAGCTCTGGGGAGAAGAGCGGGTGCTGCTTGTACCGGGATGCGTTTGTGATGCCAGCCTCCAGGGCAAGGGGCTCTGGCAAAGTGGCTGCGAGCAGCAGCCAGGCAGGAGGGCATGGTTTGGGTAACGGTAGCTTGTGAGCACCACGGGGGTTTACTCGGAGCGGTGTGATGTAGTGTGTGGGTCTGGGTGAGGATGTTAACTGGTCAGACTCGGAGCATCCCCTCTCCGGGGACGGGCCCATCGAGCTGTCCTGCTGTGGATTTCTACTTCTGGGCCGTGCTGCAGGCTTGTAAATCAAAGCCTGCCAGGCAGGGAGGAGTGCTGGACAAGCTGTGTTTTCCACTTAGGAGATGGGTAGCTGCTAGTAGAGGATCCCAGTGCCTTGCCTGCCTGCAGGCTGGCCGAGCCAAGGTCTGGCTGCAAGCTGTGCTTGATTTCTGCTGCCTGAGGAACGTAGGCTTTGCTGCCTGCTTGTGATTAAAGGCTGTGCCGGTCTGAGCTGGCTGCTCCGAGTGATGGACTCCATGCTGTGGCAGTGGATTCTGCAGCACAAATGGGTGGTGGGACCTAAATAATGGCTTGGTTCCTCTCAGCAGAGAAGCTGCTGAAGGCTGGGTTGTAGCCTCTGTGCTCTCAGCCCCGCTGGAGCCCTGGGAGGACGGAGCATAATGATGGCATCCGTCCCTTCCGTATCTGGGCACCAGCTCCGGCATTCCCTCTGTGCAGGATTCCAAGGAAGTGTGAAGTTTGCCATTGTGCCTTTCCCTGAGTGGTGTGGAGATGGGGTGGGTGCTTGTGCTGGAGACCTGGGTTTGCTGCGTGCTCCCTTCCCTGGCTCCCAGGGAGCTGTGGGAAGCCCAGCTCCCCATGGGGCAGCAGGACCCATTGAAGCTCAGGTTCCCACCAGGCTGCTCCTCTCTTGGGGTTTGCAGGGTGGTAATGACAGGCTCTGCTTCGGAACAACGCAGCTTTATAGAGGGTGCTTGCATGGTCCGTGCTGGGATGGGACCCTTCTGCCCCTCTTCCTTCCATCATTACCCGGGCACACGTTGCAGGATATGGCCCTGCCCTCAGAATCCCATCCTCTGAAGGTTCCTGCTCGAGCACGTGGCTGGGGCATGCAGGACACTGCTCACTGCAAGTGACAGCAAAGCCTTTTGTATCAGAGAGCAGAGGGCACGGTGACTTGAACACCAGCTCCTCCGGGGAGGCAGCGCTCCCTGAGCCCGGCCAGGGCTTCCTGCTGGGGACCTGGAGGCAGATGCGGGATAATCCATGCAGCTGCCTTCATCCCTGTCCTCGCTCCATCCCCTCGGGGCTCTGGGGTTTTAATGATCAGTTTTGCAAGTCTGAATTAGCCTGATTAGCATTATTCTTCTTGATGTGAGCGATTTAGAAAAGGCTCCCTGGGGTGGGGGAACAAACATACTTGAAGTCAAAGAGTTCCTGCTGCAACAGGAACACCGGGAGGGGGGGTCCTATGCGCTGCGTGGGAAGGAGAGGGGAGGCTTTGCTGGCTGTAGGATAGCATTAACCATCCTAATCCTATAGAGATCAGCCTAGAACTTTTGCAGGGAGCTGCAGAGCTTCCCTCGAGCCTTATGACGGAGCCAGGACGTGCTCTGGGTGATCCCAAAGCAGAGTCCATGGCATTCCAAATATCACCAAGGGTTCAGCCCTGCTCTGAAAGTCATGGGGTACCTCACTGGAGGATGCTTTCAAAGAGGTTTGCTCCTAAAGAAACCTCTCAGCTGATTGCTGGGTGCTGAGCAGTGTCCTGTGACTGCATCTTGGGGCTCTAGCATGGAAGGCAGTGGTTCCTTGGTCCCATTAATGCCAGGGACAGCGGGGTTGTGGCATCTTACTGATGCCCTATGACCGGAGCAGGGATTTTTGCTCACTGGGGAGGAGTGAGGCGATGTTTTTAATGCTTTTTAAGGACATAACATGCAATTAATGTTTAACTGTGGCAATGGATGCGCTCCCTTTGCCGTGCACAACTGGTGCTGTGGTTGCTTTGCTGGGGCTGCAGAAGAGATGAGGCATTGCTGGGATGCCCTGGAGGGCGTTTGCCTGTCGCTCTCAGCCTTGGATTCCCCATTGCTTGTGCCTCTGCCCCTTTCCCCACTGCTGTACCCCAGTGGGTGCTCGACGCTGCTTCTCCGGGCTCAGAGCTGCTTCTCTCCCATTTGCTGGCTGGTTTTCCTGCCGTGACTGTGCACATCTCGCTCCGCTCCCTCCCTCATCCCTCCCCCAGGAATCCCACGCTGGCTCCCGTTTTGCTGTCAGAGGGAGATGAGGCCTTGCAGCTGTACAAAGCATTGGCTTCTCCAGTGCGGACTGGGAGACGCGAGCACCCAGCGGGGCTCTGGTGCAGCCAGGGCAGGAGGAGCAGGAGACCTGCACTTGACCTGGTTTTCTCCCCGGTGCTGTTGTAAGCAATGAGCAGGATGTGGAGGGATGAATCCCTCCAGGGCTGCAGGTGAGCGAGGGCTGTGCACGAACACAGGGATGTGCCAAGGCTGTTCGGGGCAGGAGGGCTGGCACCAGCCACCGAGGCTCTGCTGCACCTCCAGCTGGTGCCTCCATGGAGCCTTCTCCCTCTCTGGGCAGAGCAAGGAGATGTGGGTGTTAGCAGAGATGAGGGTGCTTTGCTCACGGGTTACGTGTCCGTGCTGGGGACGGGCAGCTGTGTCCCACATCCCCAGCTCATTACGGCAATGGGCTTCTCCCAGGGTCTGGGAGCCGGGGCTGGGGTTGTGCCTGTGCTGCTTCTCCTCTGCTGACTATAGTCCCATCTTTCTGGTTGTTCCAGTGCTCGCTGTCTGGTCCCCGTTTCCTTCCTTCCTTCCTGCCTTTCCACTTGGCAGCTCCGGAGCATCACGGTGCCAGCCCCGGCGCCTGCTCCATGGCTCGGCTCGCACCGAGAGCAGGCGCAGGCAGGGCTGGGATGCTGCCAGCCTTGGGGGGCCGGGTACCAGCGTTACCTCTGCCTGCAGCCCCGGGCCTTCTCTGATGGGTGGGAAGCTGCTGCCTGCACCAGGAATGGCAGCGGTGCTGCGAGAGAGGATGATGCTGCCAGCACAGAGATGGCACAGGGCATGGGGAGGGAGCCTCGGGGGTTCCCTGTGGGGCAGGATGGCACCTGAGGGCAGGTGTGGGGTGACAGTGATGTGGATGCTCTGCTGGGAGCTGGGATTGCGCAGCAGCTCTCATGCCTGCTCGTGCGATACAGACCGATGTCCCTTTCCCACACCCAGATCTGCCCAGGTAACAAGGGGAGGTTGTGGGTGTTATTCTGCCTTGAAGTGTGCAGAACTGGGGTTTGAAGGGTGCAAAATGTGTCTCTGAGGTGTCACTGTCCCCACAGGAGGTGGCTGTGGCTGCAGTGTGGAGACACGGCAGTGCAGGGTGTGTAGCATCTCCCTTGCATGCACTGGAGCTGCATTATTGGAGCTACAGCCTCTGGGCACATTGCTAATGCCTACCCTGACCTGGGGCTGTGGGGTGGGTGCTGCTCTTGTGCTAATCCCGTCCTGTCTTTCCTCTTTCCCTGTTTCAGGTTGTCTCAATCCTTGTTTGCACTCTTTGCCTCGTCGCTGGCAATCTCCTTGGTCTTTGCCATCATCCCCCTGTGCCACAATGTGGTGGTCCTGGCTGTGGTCATGGCTGTGGCAGGGCTGGCCATGGGCTGCATCGACACCATCTCCAACATGCAGCTGGTGAAGATCTACCAGAAGGACTCTGCCATCTTCCTGCAGGTGAGCAGGGAGCCCTCATCCCCCCCGGCTGAGGAAGAGGAGCAGCCGTCCCCCCGGCTTTACCTCCGTGTCCCATCTCTCACAGGCCCTTCACTTCTTCGTGGGCTTTGGGGCGCTGCTGAGCCCGCTCATTGCTGACCCCTTCCTCTCGGACACCAACTGCATCCTCTCGAACTCCACGGCCAACGCCTCCAGCAACCTCCCGCACATCCGCAAGTCCCTGGTCCCGCATCACCCAGGGAACCTGTCCCACTACGACCTGCCCATGAAGGGCATGGTGGTCACGCGTGTCTCCTACGCCTTCTGGATCATGGCCCTCATCAATGTAAGTGCTGGGGGCATCCCTGGGTCTTGGCTTTGGAGGTTGCTGCGGTGTTTGGGGGGTGTCGGTGCCCATTAGGTGGGTCCCAGTGGGAGGTGGGGGTGAGGATGCGGGACATGCTAATGGTGAGGATGGTTGTGCTGGGAGCAGGTTGTACCTCCAGCATCCCCCGGGCAGGAGGGACACCACAAAGAGCCCCAGCTCTCGCTCCGTGGTCAGCCTGGGGAGGAGCTGTATGGGGCTGACTCAGTGGGAGGTGGTTTGCACTGATTTATAGCAATGTGCCATTGATGAACCGAGTTATGGGGCCGAAAGCTCAGTTGAGCTCTCTGCCTATTTGCTGGTGCCCTGGTGGCTTGCGGCAGATGCAGGAGCCCTGTGGCCCTTTGTGAGTGAGATGGTTTTTGTCCTCTTTGTCCCAGAGCTGCTCTTTTGCTGTTGCCCTGTTCCCTACCCCCCAGTTGGCACCCAAATCCCAGCGTGGTTCAATAGGGCTGGTCCCTTGCTGGGCTGTGGCTGTCGCTCCCCCAGTGGCAGGAGTCCCGTGTGGGTCTGGAGCGATGACTCCAGATCGTGTTACTGCAGCGGTGCTCTTGGTGCCAGGAGTGATGCTGAGGGCAGCGCTGCCAATGGGGTCCCCCCGGTGAGCGCAGCCCTTGCTATGGGGTGCTCTATAATCAGCCAGGCGGGTGCTGGAATGGGTCCCTTTGCACAGTGCCAAAAGGAGCAGTCCCTGCCCAGGAGGAGGCTGCTTTAACCACCTCTACCTCCCGGTGTGCCAGGGGAGAGGTGCTTTAAATTACACCGGAGCCTTCTCTATCCTGCCAGTCCGTCCTGAGCGAGCTGACTGGGTTTAAAGCACCGTTTAAGAGCCGCTTTGAACGCAGCGATGGGGCTGCCAGACCCCGCTCTGGTCCTAGCAGTGTCCCAGGGACGTTTTGGATGGGCAGTGCTGGAGTCACCATCCCTGGAAGCGCTCTCAGCCCGTGCAGACGAGGCCCTTGGTGCCGTGGGTTGGTGGTGGCCTTGCTGGGAGGCTGATGGGTGTAGGGATGAGGGTTGGGAAACAAGCACAAGAGGAGCGTGGAGTCGGACGTGCACAGCCCCTGAGCGTGTCCCCTTGCCAAAGCCTGGCTGAGGGAGCTGACTCGGTCCCTTGTTTGAACTGAATAACCCAACCCACAGCCTGCAGGTGCTGGGAGCAGCTCAGGGCTGCTGCCCCTTCCTTAGGCTGTAAGCGTCAGAGAAAGAGGGGGGTGATTTAAACCCCCAGGGAAGGGGATAGAAGGAGGGAGCTGCAGGAATGGGAAGCAGGAGCAGCAGCTTGGTTAGGGAATGGCCGGAGCCCCTGCTCCAGCCCGGTTTTCCCAGGGCTCTGTGTATTCTGACAAGACACCAGCTGAAGTGATTCATTTGTTTAGAGTGGAAAGGTCTCAGTTTGGCATCGCTGCAGCGGGTGAAGCTGCCGGAAGGGTTGTTTTGATGTGATTGAGGCAAAACGGTTTTGCTTTAGTGAGATGCAGTGATTGAGCATTATCGAAATGAAGCGCTGGGATTTCTCCCGGCCAAAACCTTTCATTCAGAAGAGCAAATTTGGGGGTTTTCATCCAGATTTGGAATAAACCCACGGTTTTAAAATCCAGTTTTCCCACAGAACGGAAATTTCATCATCCAGCCCGTTCCAAGGGGCTGGAAATGAGGAACATGTTCCTCCGAGAGAGCCGTGTTTGTCCGGAAGGTGGTTTCCCAGGGGAAGTGTGGGATACTCCATTGTGCTTAGGTTGCTTAAAAGTAGCCTGGACACAATAGCAGGGAACAGCCCCGTGCTCCTGGGGGGAGAGACCGAAATAGAAAGGGGAGGGAAGGAGCCTGGGTGATACCCAGGCTGGGCTGTGTGAGGCAGCAACTGCTTGAGCTTGTAATGATGGGAGAATGCTGGGATGCCCCTCATCCCCCTTGGAAAAACAAAATCCGCTGACGGTGGTGAAGCAGAGAAAGCCCAAAGCAAATGGTTCTTGTAGCAAAACCTCTGCCTGCCCAAAGGGAGCCCCAGCCTGGTTTGGGCTGGAAGGGACCCCAAAGCTCCTCCAGCCCCAACCCCTGCCACAGGCAGGGACCCCTTCCATAGAGCAGCTTGCTCCAAGCCCCTGTGTCCAACCTGGCCTTGAGCACTGCCAGGGATGGGGCAGCCACAGCTTCTCTGGGCACCCTGTGCCAGCGCCTCAGCACCCTCACAGGGAAGAGCTTCTGCCTAAGAGCTCAGCTCAGTCTCCCCTCGGGCAGGTTAAAGCCATTCCCCTTGGCCTGTCCCTACATCCCTTGTCCCAAGCCCCTCTCCAGGTTTCCTGCAGCCCCTTCAGGCACTGGAGCTGCTCTCAGGTCTCCCCTTTAGGAGCCTTCTCCTCTCCAGGCTGACCCAGCCCCGCTCTTTGCCTTGTCCCAGGCAGCCAAGAAACGTGGTGCTGCCAGCCTGGAGCTGGTGCGGTTGGCTAAAGCAAAAGGGACTTTGGTGCCATTGCTTTAGAGGTGAGGATGTGGGGAACAAGGGTAAGCCTAGCCTTCGAGTGGGAATTGCAGGGGTCTGGAGCTGGGGACCTTTCCTGAGTGCTCCTTAAGGCTGGAGGGCTCAGGGATGTTATCATGGCCCAGGCCCTCTGCATGGGGATATTTTCTGCCAGATCTGCAATTTGGAAGAATAAAACCAGGTCCTGCCCTCCGGAAGGATTGGAACTATCAAGCAAATGCCTTTCTCTTCCATGGGACCGAACTCACTGTTCCTATTCCCATTGTTCCCAGAACAATGAAGTCCTCAAAAATGAATTCAGGCAAGAGGGGCGGGATGGGGTGGGGAGGAATTCTCCATACATTTAAATCCTGCCTCGAGCCAACAAAAAGCAGGAAATTTGGAGCTGGGGCTCCCACTTGCTCACAGACATGGAGAAAACAAGCCCTGGGCGGCCGGAGGGTGAGCTGTCCCTTAGGATTTCCTGGCTTTCTCCCACACTTTGCTGCAGGATAAACTCGGCTATGGTGGGAAGAGACGGCAATGGGCTCTGGTTGCTTCCCTCTGCTTTTTCTGCCCCCAAAATAGGGACGTTCCCTTGCCTCGAAGGCACCGTTGAGCCGTGGCTGTGCTCAGGGTGCAGGGGGTGATGCTGCGATGCTGCTGTGATGGATCCAGCCCTGAGGCCAGTCCCAGGTCCCTCGGTACCAAGAGGCCGTTTGAAGCTGCAGGGCTGCTGGTGTTGGCCTGGGAACCACGAGCTCATCTCTTAGGAGGTGCTGAGCAACCTCTGCTAATGGCTGGAGCCGGGCAGAGCAGGTCCTGGAGCTGCTGTTGTTCCCCCACACAGGGTTTCAGGCGCAGCTCTCCTGCTGTCCACAAGCAAAAGCTACTTCACTGCTGTGTTCTCTGGGCAGGTGCTCGGAAACCAGGACACTTGGGTGATGAAGGACTGGTACGGTGCTTTGTGAGCGTTGTATTTAGGTGCCTTCTGTTGCAGTGCCCTTGTTCCCAGGTGAATTGTTCCCATCCCACAGGACCCTCAGGAGATGCCCCGGTTGTGTTTCACAGCAGAGTCTTTGCTCTCAGCTTGTCATTTATCTTTTCCCTTTCTTACCAGCTCTCCTAGCACACCCCCATCCCTCCTGCAGTAGCTCCTTACCCCACTGCCACCCTGTCCTTGCTCCTGGAGGTTAATCCAGGCACATGGAATGGTTTGGGTTGAAGGGACCTTAAAGCTCCTCCAGTTCCAACCCCTGCCATGGGCAGGGACCCCTTCCACTGGAGCAGCTTGCTCCAAGCCCTGTGTCCAACCTGGCCTTGAGCACTGCCAGGGATGGGGCAGCCACAGCTTCTCTGGGCACCCTGTGCCAGCGCCTCAGCACCCTCACAGGGAAGAGCTTCTGCCTAAGAGCTCATCTCAGCCTCCCCTCTTTTGTCTCCATATGGGAGCTGCTCCAGTCCCTGAGCATCTTTGTGGCCTCCTTGCTCCCACAGCTCCTTGTCCTTGTGCTGGGGCTGCCAGAGCCGCACATGGGAGCGGGGTCGAGGGGCACCCATTGCAGGTGCTCGGTGCAGCCCCTACAATGCCATCGGGGGGAGGCTGTGCGGTGCTGTGCCGTGCTGAGCCGTGCTGAGCCGAGCTGTGCGGTGCTGAGCCGAGCTGTGCGGTGCTGAGCCGTGCTGAGCCGAGCTGTGCCGTGCTGAGCCGTGCTGTGCGGTGCTGAGCCGAGCTGTGCGGTGCTGAGCCGAGCTGAGCCGTGCTGAGCCGAGCTGTGCGGTGCTGTGCCGTGCTGAGCCGTGCTGAGCCGAGCTGTGCGGTGCTGAGCCGAGCTGTGCGGTGCTGAGCCGAGCTGTGCGGTGCTGAGCCGAGCTGTGCGGTGCTGAGCCGTGCTGAGCCGAGCTGCGCCGTGCTGAGCCGTGCTGAGCCGAGCTGTGCGGTGCTGAGCCGTGCTGAGCCGAGCTGTGCGGTGCTGAGCCGTGCTGAGCCGTGCTGAGCCGAGCTGTGCCGTGCTGAGCCGAGCTGCGCCGTGCTGAGCCGTGCTGAGCCGTGCTGAGCCGAGCTGTGCCGTGCTGAGCCGAGCTGTGCCGTGCTGAGCCGAGCTGCGCCGTGCTGAGCCGTGCTGAGCCGTGCTGAGCCGAGCTGTGCGGTGCTGAGCCGTGCTGAGCCGTCCCTCTCTGTCGCCCCCAGCTGCCCGTGCCCATCGCCGTGTTCTTCCTGCTCTACAAGGAGCGGATGGTGCCGTGCTTCAGCAGCAGCAGCCACCCGCTGCTCTCTGCCGACGAGCTGGCCATGGAGACGCGCCCGGCGGACAAGGACGAGCTCAGCACCGCCGTGCAGCGGCCGCACGGAGCAGGAGGTGAGCGCGGGGCAGCCCTGGGGTTAGGTGGGACCAGGACCCGTGCGCGGAGCTCGGTGCCCCGCTGCTGGCTCCAAGCTGGGCTCAGCCCTCACGCACACGTGGAAGTTGGGCCCCTTTGTGTCCCGCTGGGCTTGGGCCAGGCTGGGAGCTCGCTGGGGGCTGTAACCGTGGGGCGCAGATGGGTGAATGAGAAAGGAAGGAGGACGGTGCCTCTGCGCGGGGGCAGAAGTTAAACCCCAGCAACGCTTTGCCCTTGAACTTGTGAGTGCCCCCGTTCTGGGGCGATAGCGTTGTTCTTTGGTGCCCAAGAGAAACCTCTCCGAGGGAGCGCATGGTTTAGGGCTGTCGGAAGCAGTGGCTTTACCTGAAGGGGAAGTTTAGGGAATGGTTGCAGGTGGAGGCCGTTAGAGATGCGTTGAGGTGCTGCAGGGAAGGATCACGGGTGTCCCCGACACGGTGGGTTCTCTGCTGTCTCGTAAGGTTGTGCTCATCTGAAGGCATTTCCCTTAGCCGAGACACTGATGGTTCCTTTCCTCAGCCCCGCTGCCCGTTTCCATAAAACCCGTTGGAGCTTCACGTTCTTCAGATCTCGGTCTTCCTCTTAGAAGCAGTTGGGATGAATCCTGTGGGAAGCAGGAAGAGGCTGCATGGGGAACGCTGCCGTCTTTGACAGACACGTCTGTGCTGGCAAAACCCCCCCTTCCCCATGCGAGTAGCGAGGATTTCATCTTTGCCACGCAGGAGCATCTCACCTGGGCAGGACTCCTTAGCAGCAGCCCTTGGCGCAGCCCGGAGCGGGGCGATGTAAATGGGAGTCGGGAATTCCAGGGGTCCTGAGCCCCGGCTTTGCTCTGTTCCGAGGGGGTGACTCGAGCTCCGCGTCCTCCCTCTCTTTCCCAGAGTTGGCTTGGTTGGGTGTAAATAGCGTTTAGCAGAGGAACGTGCCCCGCATGGCGCTCCCAAAGCCCAGGGGCTCCAAGCACGAGTGCTGTGGGCAGACGGGCTTGTTTCTGTTGGCCGTAAGAGCAATGTGGAGCTCCCGAAGGGGAAGAGGAGCACGAGCAGCTACAGAAAGAGAAGTAGCAAATACCCCGGAGAGTGAGGACCCCAGCCTATGGCCCTAACCGAGCCCGTCTGCCTTGTGGTAGGTAAAGCCAGAGGCGGTGCCAGCGGAAGTCAGCAGCGCTCCACTGTTGTTCGTGGTCCTCTATGAGTCTGAGCACAAACCAAACCCCAGCGTGGGCTGGCAAGCACCCAGCCCCAGGGGGATGTTCCAGCTAAGTTTGCTTTGCATTGTTTCTCACCAGGTCATGATGACTTATTTAGCTGCTGCCAAAGCAAAAACTTCAGAGGGGCTTCTTACACCTACTTCGCAGTCCACATCACTGGGGCTCTTGTTCTCTTCATGACTGATGGGATTGTGGTGAGTTCAGCTGATAGAGGGATCTTCTCTGAGCAAAGCTCTGTGGCTTTCTTCCTTCCCAACCACTTAGAACAGCCCACAAAGCTAATGGCAGTCAGGCTGATAAGCGCCCTGCTTCTTGGGAGGGTTTTGTGGCTTCTCCTGTGTTCCGGGCTCTGTGTTGGTGCAGCCAGAGCGCTACTAACCCAACCGGTTCAGGGTTGCAATGGTGTCTCTTGGATGCAGTGCAGGTCTCTTCTCAGGTCAGCCAAGAGGCAAGAACAGCTTCCTCTTAGTTCATGACAACCGTGGCTCTTTGTTCCATGGGTGTCCTGAGCCCTCCAAACCCGAGCTGAGAGCACGTGGGGATGGTGCGGGCTCAGCGTGGCCCTGGCTGGGTGCACCACGCGTAGCACTCGTGTCCGGGTGAGCAGGATGCTGGCAAGGTGCTGCTCTTTGTCTTTCCATGGCTTCGGCTCACGGTAAAACACTGCTGGGTCTTGCCAGGGCATTAACCAGGGTCTGGAAGAGGAGCGGGGTTACACGCAGTAGCTGTCAGACACAGGGACTCTGCAGGGCTTCCATCGTCAAGGTGATCAACTCCAGGTTCTTAATGTGGTGTGTTTGAGAGGGCACGGCTCCAAAAGGACGAGGCAGCCCCTAGAGACGAGGGCATCTCTACAGAGAAGAGCTGAGCATGCTTCTGACCCAGTCATAGTGCGAGTCTTGCCCTTTAGGAGAGCTCAAGTCTTGCGTTCTGCTCCTGGTGGAAGCCTGTCTCCAGCTGCCAACCCTTGGGAACAAGGCTCGGTGCGGTTCGGTAGCGCATCCATAGGTGGGCTCTCCAGCACTGCCACAGCGTTGGGAATAACTGAGGGCAAAGCCTGGAAGTCCTCACAGCGCTGTGACTGCTCTTGTGTTCCCCTGCAGGGAGAGTACTCGGGCTTCATTTACAGCTACGCGGTGGAGGAGCCGCTCTCTGTAGTGCACAAGGTGGCCGGGTACCTGCCCAGCCTCTTCTGGGGCTTCATCACGCTGGGCAGGCTCATCTCCATCCCCGTGTCCTACCGCATGAAGCCAGCAACGATGGTCTTCATCAACGTGGTAAGGCTGGGTTTACTGTGGGTCTAATCCTGCTCGCCTCCAGGATGCTGCCTGGCTCTGGTGGTGATGGGCAGAGCTAGGGTAAAGCCTTCCTCTGCATGCCTGTCGCCGATGCCAGTGCATGAGGGAGCCGAGGCTTGCTTACCACTTGATTGCATCGCTTTGCTGAGCGATCCTCAGTTGATCTAAGCATAGAAAGCACCTCGTAAAGTGCCTGCTAGCATTATTGCACGTTCTCTTTGGCCTCTACAGGGGACTAATGCCCATGTCAGCTGTGGGAGAGGGAAAGCAGAGGTCAGTAAATTCTCTACTTGGACTGTAGCAGCTGGCAAAGAAACCAACGTGATGTGAAGCTGCTGCTTAACCAAAAGCATCCGCTTGGAAAGGGCAGGAATCCCGTCAGGATACGTGAGGAAGATGTGCATCAGGATGTGGCAGCCAACAGGGAGGGGATTGTGCCCATTCACGCTTGCACCCAAAGAGGAACCGAGGGAGAAGGCAGTGAATTTACACAAGTTCTCTTCGTAGCAGGGCTCAGTTAATGTTGCAAAGCCAAGGGGGTGGTGACAGACCAGGAGCCACAGCTCCGAACAGTGAGGCTGGTGTCCTGTGCAGACAGGAGGTGAGGCCCCTGCGTGGGCACTTTGAGCTTGGCTACCAGCAGACAGAGCCAAATGCACCGGGGCTGGGATACAACTGAGTGCAGCTCCCACTGGAGCACACGGGTGCTGTGAGCAGGGGATGCCTGCCACTGACCGCATCCCTGGTCCAGCCTGCATCCTTGCCCCATTAAGAACCCTGAGGACAGGACTGCTGCCTTAGCTGCTGCTAATACGTGGGGAGAAGAGGGAGCAGCCTCCAGCCCTGGTTGGAAGCTGCCGCACGTCCCCTTAAAGCCAAGGGTGGTAGCACCATCATTTGCCTGTCACCGAGCCCCTTGTGCTGCTGCACGCAGGGAGGTACAGGTGAGCCTTACGGCAAACTGCAGGGGGAATTCAGTGTCTCTAGGACCCAAATCGCTCTGTACAGACACGCACCCATCCCAGGGGCCTAACAACGAACTGACGTGGTGGTGCTGCAGGGCTCCCTCTGGTGACCCTGCCGTGCCGGGTGCTGCGCCTCATCTCGGATGGCTTTGCTGGTACAGGCGAGAGGCCAGGGCAGTGTTTAAGTGGAGCTGGTTCTTTGGCTTTGCTGCTCTGCCTGGTTTCTGAGTGAGTTCATTCCTTAGCCTGCTCAAACAGAGCTGTCGGGGACTGAGATGTGATTATTATGGAAGTAGCAGTATCGGATTTAAAACTGAAAAGTGTTTCAGCTAGAATCTGAAGTCTCTACCCAGTGAAGATGAGACCCGGGTACCACGTTACGGTCTAAAGCCCTGTCATAAAAAGCACCAAATTCTTTGCTGTAAAGGCTTTTATTTGTCAGGTTTCTCAGGGTGTGATCTTTCTGTCAGCATTTATGTTCCTTTTCCAGACTATTTTCTACATTAAAATTGAGTCCAGGTCCTATTCTTGCCACTCAGCATTTTCCACCCTCTTGTTTGCAGGTCGGAGTCCTGATAACCTTCCTCCTGCTCCTCATCTTCTCCCACAGCGTCGTCTTCCTGTTCGTGGGGACAGCATCCCTGGGGCTGTTCCTCAGCAGCGCCTTCCCCAGCATGTTGGCCTACACCGAGGACATCCTGCAGTACAAAGGTGAGCAGGGACCAGGCACTGGCAGCAGGTAGATGGTCAAGCCCAGAGCCAGCACCTCCTTCCCTCCATCCTCAGGGATGCTGCCTTGGAAGCCTGGAGGAAAGTTCTGGTTCTGAGCAGTGTTGTTCAAGCTGGAGGAGCTTTGGGTTGGAAGGGACCTTAAAGCAGTCTGGGATTCTGTGATTTGCATGGAGATACCCGTGGCAGATGGGGCCATCCCTGCAGGCTGCCCCAGCATCACTTGCGCTGTTTCTTTGCAGGCTGTGCCACGACCGTTCTGGTGACTGGAGCTGGAATTGGGGAGATGGTGCTGCAGTTACTGGTGGGATCGGTGAGTGTGGACAGGGCACAGCACAAACTGACGGCAGCCTTTAAGCCGAAACCTTAGTCCAGGCTTTGGGCAGCTGCTGGGGAAAAACCACTGCATTACCTTGGAGCTAAGGACCAGTAACGCTGCCACCGGCTGCTGGCTGAGGTACCTGAGCGCTGTGATGACATCTGCTCCCTTTCCCCCTTTCAATTGCAGATTATACATGATCAGGGCAGCTACAGTTTCCTGGTGTGTGGGATGATCTTTGGAGGCTTGGCCTTTACCTTCTACGCCTTCCTCTTGTTTTTCCACAGGATGTACCCCAAGCCCTCAGCAGGTAAGGCAGCCCCAGCGCCCGGCACTGCTTTAGACTGAGAGGAAGAGCGGCACACGCAGCGCTCCAGAGCCGGGCTGCAGGGCCTCAGCAAAATGCAAGGAAATGGTTATTTTGCTGCTGCTTCCCGTCCCCTCTTCCTGCTTGGCCTTGCCCACAAAGCCTTGGCAGCCACAGCTCGGGGTTTGCTCGCTTTGCTGGGGGAGAAGCGAGGGATCAAGTAGGACTCACACAGGACCCGTAACTCCACGGGCTGGCTGTGCAAGCACTGCACTGCTGCTGGACAGTAGCACAGACTGCACAAGCCTTCCCTGTGCTGCTCCCTGGCAGGAGCTAGGGAATGAGCGGGTCTGCCATCCAAAGAGAAAAGCCTCACTGATAAGGAATTCTCTTACCTGTCCCCTCAGTCTGCATGTGCTCTGTGCGCTCCCTTTGTAAAAGGTGCTTTAGGGACAGGCAAACACTGGTCCAGGTTACTGGAAACGGAGGCCTGTCTTAATGGAATGGTTTGTGTTGGAAGGGACCTTAAAGCTCCTCCAGCTCCAACCCCTGCCACGGGCAGGGACCCCTTCCACTGGAGCAGCTTGCTCCAAGCCCTGTGTCCAACCTGGTCTTGAACACTGCCAGGGATGGGGCAGATGCAGCTGCTCTGGGCTTTGCTGCTCTTGTGATGCAAACCTGATGTCGATGTTGCAGACATGGACGATGCCTCCCCTGACAAAGCAGCAGTGAGAGACGACACGGGGCAGTACCAGCGCTGAAGCAGCGGCCAAGCCCTAGCCAAGCAATAAACCACACAGCGAAGCACTGCTCTTACGGATGATTTCACATCTAATGACTGAATCATGCAAGTCTTCTGCAATCAAAAGCACATGAGATTGGGTAAGTCGGAATCAAGACAACATCCTGAAACACTGCCTCAAGCTAAGCACAAGCTGCCCCTGTCACACAAACCAAAAGGACCAGCATCAGCATGACCCTTGCGTCTGATGGCCGTGTACGGAGGGGTGATGGGAGCAGCTCCTCCTGCCGATGCACCTTCTTTCTTACCAGTTCAGGATGAAGGGGACGAAGGAAAAGGTTCTCTCTGTCCCATAGGTAAGACTGAGCCTCTCCTGGCTTAGACATTGAACGGAAGATGTTTCTTTTGGTCTGTAACGTACAGAAGCCCCACCACTTTATAGCACAATACTGGATTGGATTCCTTTTTGTGTAACACTGACTCGAGTATGTGTCACCTCCATGTACACTGCCAAAGGGGGAAACCTACACCATTGGTAGAGCCAGCCCACCAAGTGCACAGCAGTAGCAGGACCCATCTGTATTTGCACAGTTGATTCTTCTCTCTCATGCACTATCATCATCAGCCCTGTTCACTAAGCCAGTGTCTTATGCAGCATGCTAGGGCCTCTTGATCATTAAAATCATTAGCTTTCACCTTGGTTTTGAGTCAAGACTGACTTGTGGTTTGTTTTGCTTTCAGTCACTAGTTTAGCTGCTACGGTCGCAGTGTCTTTTAGGGTGGCTTTATTTCTAGCTTCCAGTTGAAGCTTAACCAGAGGTATTTGGGAGCCAGCCTCCAGCTGCTTAATCTGTGCAATACTTATTATCCAGGTGCCTTCTTTAAGGTACTCTCATAGCCCACGCATGACCTATTACAAGCGATGAAGAAAGGACTGGCTTCAGAAGAGTGTAAAGCCCCATCCATCTATTTCTTCAGTGAGTGATTGGACATGTACTTTTTGCTTTAACTGCTGTATGTGGGTGTACATATGTACGTGTGTATATAAAGCAGTGTTTAATTAAAGGTGATTGATTGCTAGATTCTCAGCATGATTGGACTTGGATAATTCAGCTCTTCCTGGCCAAGGCTATCAGCTGCTACCTAAATGTAATCTCTTTTAACTTGCATTTGGTTCAGTGGTTCTGGCTTTCCAAGCAGATCTTGCCTTCCATACTCTATCTCCCAAGGATGGTTCTATAGCGAACAGACTCCTTGGCTTGCCTTTGTTAGACCTAAAGCTGAGTGAGCATCAGGCCGCTGCTGGAAGGAGGGAGATGAGGTGAATCCTGGGCTAAACTCATCCGTTGTTTCCAGGTACCTGCAGCCTCACAGCCCGGGTGCTGCAGTTCTGCTCTGGCACCAGGGGATGCCACTGTTACTCTCCTTGAGCTACCCAGGATGAAAAAGCAAAGCCCTTGTGCAGCACCCCCCAGTCTGTCATTAATAGTGGAGCCCCTCCCACCATGACAGCATCCTCTCCATCCCTGTGCAGAGGAAGCGAGCATGAAACAATACAATGAGGGAGCTGATTTGGAAAGGAGCCTGCCCAGTTCCATGTACATCACACCCGGGACTGTCAGCCATTCAAAACCACCTCCTGACGTCCGTGCAGCTTGCTAATACGCAGCTGAATGTCAGGGTAACAGTTCTTGATGGTAGGGGTGTATGTGACCGCTCCCATCTCCACCCTGAGAACGGAGCTGCTCCCCAAAGGAAACGGTCACCCAATAGCACCTGACCTGGCACAGAGGGGGTGCAAGGGCAGCTCCAGCTCCTGGCTCAGGGCAGGTGGGACAGGGGCCAGCCCTGGCTGGGGAGAAGGGACAGGTTAGCTCGGGGCCTCGCAGCTCCCTCAGCATCACTGAGCCAGCAGCGCTGCAGCTGCGACTCTCCCTTTCCTCTCTCTGGTGCCAAAAGGAAGAGGCCAAAAGAGCAGGAGCTTTGTTAAAAATATTTATTTAAAAAAATACAGTTGTTTTGCATGTCTGTTGCACATAACTATTAACATAGGATCGACTTGGATAATCTGCTACAATGCTTTTGGAAAGCCAGCCTGCATTATACAAAGCAAATCCCTCGGTCAGTTCTTACACAAAATAGTTTTCTTTAACTGTTCCCACCCCGCTCTTAAAAAAGATTGCAATACAGTCAGGTTTGGTTTTTTTTCTTCTTTTTTTCTTTTTTTTTTTTTTGCACAAAAATCGAAGCAATAGAAAAGTCACCTGATTCCTCAGGAAAGACCTCCGTGATGTTCGAGGAACAACAGCCAGCGCGCTCTAACAGCAGCCCCCAGTACCAGGAGGTGTCCTTGCAGTGCACCTCCTCCAAAGTCACTTTTGCACTGTAGAACTTTGCCCCCCCCCCCCCAAATCGCATTCGAACCTGAAATGTGTCCCAATAACTGCAGCTCTCCTCTAAGCAAAGGGATCAGCCCTTCTTTTCCAATCTGCTATCGACACGCTGAAGGTCTTCCTAATATGTTATCTCGGAAGGTTAAATAAAAGCAAATTTAGTAACACTGAACAATTACTGAAAACTTTGGCTATTTATGTACTTGCATTACATACCAGCATTTGTTTTAGAAACACAATGGCATTAAGATACTCTTCCTATACGGTATTACTTTAAAAAGAAGTTAGACTGAGAAGCTATTCTCTCCCAGGTGAGTTCACCCAACTGCACCAGGAGCACCAAAGTGGTGCCAGATTGCAGCTGGCTCTAAAAGACTGTGTCTAGAAAGAAAGTCTCCAGTGTAGGAAGTTAAGACACTCACTACAACTTAACGTGCTTTGTCGCTCGACTTGGTGCTATAGATATATATATAAAGATAAATAAAATGCAATTCTGGTCTGGAAAGAGTAACTGAAAGCGTTCACGCTGCTGCTTTCAGTGTTATTTTTACCACTGATGGTTCTACTAAAATGACAGGAAAGCAAAGAGAATCCATTCCAGATTAAAGAGTGAGTTTACCGATGTGACTGTCTGCTCAGTCTGCCCCAGGCAGAGCTGCTGGAGGATAAAACCACTGCAGACATCACTGCAAAGGACCCAGGGTCACCTGAACATTCAGTTGAGCAGTAAAACACTAAAGGCATCAGGAAGTCACTTTCCAAAGCAGATGTGCACTTTAAAACCAAAACCACCTGCCCCACGTTACCACAGCTGATGAAGTTCTCTCAAATGGAACTTCAAGGTTCCCTCCCCTGACTTCATCGGAGCCATAGCTGGGGTAAGTGAGACCAGCTGCAGCGAAGCCAATGGATCTACTCTGATTTACAAGTTTCTAGCACAGGCCTCACATCTGCCAGCAGCTGGCTCAAGGAGCCGCAGGATTCCCAAGACAAAGTCTCACGCTGGTTCCGATCCCTACTCAGAGTCCTTTCAGTCCCAGGTTAATTCCAGCTGCCACAATAGAACGTTAGAGGAGACAGCCCCCATATCCTATGTGCACGTTGCTGGAATTTTCCCTTTTATTCATCTCTATTATAAAGAATATACTTCTCAGCTATAAAAAAGGGGAGGGGGGGGAGATAAGCATTAAATGTGCTACTGTACTTATCACAAAACACTGTGACGTACATAAGGCCATCTGGTAACACTGCAACAGAATACAAACAAGGTTTGAAAAGGGAGGTTTAGAATACAACTCTCTTTTTAACTACAAGGAATAATCTCAACCCTGTTCACAGAGCATGAAGGTTAGAACTAGCACATCATATATAGAAACCTCTGTGCAACTGAACAAGAGCAGAACGAAAAGTCAACACAAGTCTAGAAAGCCTTTTCAAAGCCTGAAGATTTAAGACATGCCAGCCCCCAATAAAACACAACACAGCTCAAGGAGCCGAGAGCAAGCCCAGGTATTTACCCCCCCAGCACACAGCACGCACACGGAACCATGCAGAGCCCATCCTCCGAGCCTTCCTGTGCTCAAAAAACAGAGAAAAAGGAAATAAACCCCGAAAAGAATAAAAAACAGCTTCCAGTTATCAGTACAGCACCGCTGCCTGTGCTGCCCGCGGCCCGAACCGGCTCTGGCCACGGCGCTTCCCTTCTCCTCCCTCTCCTGCCGGCGCTGCTCGCAGCTCACCCACATCTCCACTGAAAGAGCCCTGATTCCCCCAGGTTCAGCATTATTCCGCTAACCCCCTGCTCAAAGCCCACCTCTGAGATGAAAACCTCCTGCAATGCGTGGTCTCAACAGAGGAGCAAGGGCTTGAAGTACGACAAGTCCAAACTTTTGTTCCATGACCATAAAACTGTTCAGAGACACAGTTAAGACATTTATGAATGTCAAAGGTGCAGTGAGGAATAACCTTTGGCAACCAATTCATCCACACACTGGGGTATCATGGAAAACCAGGAACTAAAAAGCCTCCCAATAGCTCAGCAGGGTGTAGGAAGTGGCACTGCAGAGTGCAGCGCCTGCTCTGGTGTACGTGGCAGCATTATTTAACGTGTTACCTCCACACGTGCAAAGCCAGGCTCTGTGAGAACACTCATCCTCCCAGGCAGTGAGCACGTGAGGCCACACGTATGTTCACAAGAGCTATTCCAGTCTCAGCTGAATGATGCATCTGCAGCTCTCAAAGCCTGCTTTTCAGCACACATCACAAGCTCCACAGCCAAATCTTCCACTACGTCCTTTGGGAGGGGGTGAACAAAACTAAGCTCTAGTCAGCTGGACTTTGTTGTGTGGAATAATGGAGATGAAGTGGATATCTTGCTATCCCGAAAGGTAAAGAATACTTCAGCACACTCATTCAAGAGACATCATCGGGTCCTGCCCAGCTTCCTTACCTTGTTTTGCAAAGCATGGTTATGGTCAGCAAAGCTGCATCCTCCAGAAAGCATCCATGTTCTGCAGTGAACACGCTCCCCCTTAATTGTGCTTGCTCTTTGTACACAGGCAAGGGTAACACAGGGGTAACAGGCTCAGGATCCCCCAGACTTAACCCTTCTGCTTTAGGTGGCACCAGGACAGTCAGGCCGTGCGGACAGAGGGGCTGGTGATGCTAAACACAGGCTGCAGAAACCAGGCAAGCGCTGTTGTGGCTCCTCTGTTACATCCTTGTGCCCAACAGCAGCCTATGGAGAGAAGAGCTGGCTTTCCTGTCAAGAATCCTGTCTGGAATCAGCTTTCACCCCTGGCCCCTGCACAGGCAGCACTACCGAGTGGAATGGGGCATCCACAGGTGTCGAGCCACGAGGAACAGCCCTGAGGGACGGTGTAAAACCATGTCACTGCCTTTTTATCTTTCCATCTTCCTCTGAGAGCAGCTGGTTTGAGCAGATCAGCTGCAGCACGGCACACACCAACCACCACTCAGAGCAGCGGAACAGCCAAAGGCTTCTGCATTAAGCAGA